CCCCCCCCCCCACCCCCAGAGAATACATTTATCAATTTTACTTGTAATACTTGGAATAAAGTGAGTAAGAACCACTCCCAAACATTTAGACCATTGTGCTATAGTCATCTTTAATTACAGATGCTCGTTTAATACAAAAAATTCAACCAGTTGTCGTTGTCTCGAAATTTGTGATGCAATTATAAATTTCTAATCCTGTTCATATATGAAATGCCCCATTGTCTTGGGGGTCCATAAAAAGCATCTGTATCTGCCTTTTTTGCATGTAAATGTTAAGCCTGCTTTCTTCGCTGCATATTACTATCTGTGTTCAACACGCTAAGTATGTAAAACCAGCAGTATTTAAGTTTGTTCAAAGCTGGTGAGTGTTTACCTGCTCAAGACAGTCAAAGGCAGCTTCCTGATACTTGCGTGTTTTTTTTGTGCAGGCATTAGATATGAGATCCAAAATGGAGTTTGGAGACTCAGGATTGGCAGCAGAAATTGCTTCGTAGCATGATTTACAAAGAGAAGATAATGCATAAAGTAAGGCTTCTTTTCCCTGCCATAAAAAGAAAAAAGAAAGAACCATTAGCTTAAATCAGGAAAAATGGAATGACTTCACATTAGCACAGGCCAATCCATTGTTACATCCGAAGCATGTAAACTATGAACCAAGAAAATTACAATATAGATATCTTTTGACGAAAGCTTTCAAATATTTGTAAGTAAAAGTTGCATGGAGACGGAACGGGTTCAGGAAAGAGGAGCACCAGCTTTTCCAAATTTTAAAAAGGATTTTGGTGTTGAAATGTCTCCAAGTACCCAAATGGGGGCATTTTGGGGACGGGAAGCAGCACTTATCTCACGAATCCATGAAAAATGAATGCCAAGCAATTATTCCTCATGTTCCTATATGCTTTTCATTGGTTCCCCATCCGCTCCCACACAGACAGGGAAAATAAAAGGGAAGTTTTAAAATTTTTTGTTTAAAAGAAAAAGTTAAAGGTAGAGTTGTGATTAAGCATACTTCATTTAGAGTGAAGATTCATGGTGAAATTATTTAAGGGAAAAGAAGACAGTACTGATTTGTAATCATGGAGGAAAGGGAGGAGATATTCTTCTAGTCATATAACTCATATTATGCTGCCATCCTCAAAGGGTAATGGATGGTCAGAAAATTTATTGCGCAACACATTGATTTGCATTGATTAGAAAAATACTGTCCCACAAAAATTGTCTCACTGCGGATAACGAAACTTGACTAAAGTAATTTTCAAATCAATTTATTTAAATATTGGAGCAAAGATAAGATGTACTTACAAGATTGCAAAGGGAGGAAGAGCATTTTGGTTCCTTTTTACAAGAATAAGGAGGGATATTCAGAGTTGAGAGTTGTGGAAACTCCAGGTCAAGCTTATGAGTCATACAATGAAATTATGGGAAAGAGTGGTTGAACGGAGGTTGAGACAAGAGACTTCGGTGTCAAAGAACCAGTTTGGTTTTATGCCAGGAAGATCAACTACAACGGCTATACTTGGTGAGGAGAAGTATTGTGAAAGGTGTTAGAGAAAAAAGGAGTAAGGATTGCTTACATTGGGGCGATTAAGGACATGTACGATGGTGTAGGATTACACCAAGGGTCATCATTAAGCCCATGTCTTTCTACCCTAGTATTGGACGTTCTTACCGAACATATCCAAGAACCTGTACCATGGTGCATGCCTTTTGCCTATGACATTATCCTTATGGGCGAATCATGAGAAAATTTGAATGGAAAGTTGGATGTGTGGAGACAGGTTTTGGAGTTGCATGGCTGGCATATAAGTCGCACTAAAACAGAGTACATGGATTGCAAGTTTGGCAACAGAAGGAAAAATAGTAACATCGACGTGAAAGTTGAAGAAAATACTATACCACAAGTAAAGAGATTTAAATATCTTGGGTGTATCATTTAAGAGAATGGAAAAATAAAGGATGATCTAATTTAAGAGAATGGAGAAATAGAGGATGATCTTAACAAAAGGATTCAAGCTGGTTGGTCAAAATGGCAGAGTGCTTTGGGCTTTATATGTAACCAAAAAGTACCTTTAAAACTAAAGGAAAAATTTTACAGTACTGCTATTAGACCAGCTATAGTGTATGCAGCAAAGGAAGAACATGAAGTCATGAACACAAGGTTAGTGTGGCGGAAATAAAGATGTTTTGTTGGATGAGCGGTCATACGCGTATGGATAAAATAAGGATTGAAGATATGGGAAATAAAGTAGGAGTGGGACCTATTTTAGAAAAGATGGTGGAAACGCGTCTTAGGTGGTTTGGACATGTGGAGAGAGGACTAATAGAGCATCTTGTGAGAAGGGTTAGATCAAAGGGTAAATAGACATGTGGCTAGAGAAAGAGGTAGACCTAAGAAGACTTGGCAACTAGTGATCAAGGGAGACCTTTGCGTGAATGATCTCATAGCACCCAACTGATATGTTAAATGATAGGGCGCAATGGTTTCGTTTGATCCATGTAGCCGATCCCACCTAGTGAGTTAAGGCTTTGTTGTTGTTGTTGCTCTTGTATTAGAGCAAATATATAAATTAATTTTGTCTAGCTAAAAATTACATCAAAATTTCTATAAAACAGAGGTGACATGACTATGTTATTTTAACAAATGATAACCGAAAATAAGTAGAGAAAGAAGAAATAGTTTGACCTCTGAATAGGTGAATGGTGAATTAAAAAAATAAAATGGGACTGATGGAGTTGTTATATAAAAGAAAATGCATTTGGAGAAACTTACATATAATCCATCTTATTGTAGAAGTTTTCTAAAAACTTTCAACAGAAGTGAACACTTGGCTACTTGCCCATTGGATAAAACCATTTTTACTATTTACCCCATCCATCTCCAAATGAACTTTACAATTACTATTCACACGTCATACTATTATATCTTCACTCGCATATTTTCATTGATCATTTGTTAAAATATGATACTCAAGTCATATCTTGTTTTGTAAAATTTTTGATGTTGATTTATAAATTTTTACATTTAAATTTTACACCAATATTAAAATAAAATACAACAAAGCTCGTAAAATCCCACAAAAAGTAGGCCTGAAAAGGATATATGTAGGCAGACCTTACCCCAAATCGGAATCAGAGAGATTTTTCCAACAGACCTTCAACTCAAACAAAGTAGTGAAGCACAGAAAAATTTAAGCACAATAGCACGAACAAAGTAAGAGCACAAAGACAAAAAACAAGAAACACATAAACAAGATGCACATATACCCACATTAGCAACTTGATCCAAGCACAGAGAGCACACGTGTACAAGCTTCAAACTAAGATAAAAATGCATGAGAGGTCTACCCAATTATTATAATCTTAGTGGGCACTCCTATCTAAGGCCATATCTTCATGAAGACCCTTAAGTCGTATGTCATGTCTAATCACCTCTCAAATCTTTCTAGGCATACCCCAACCCCTACCCACATTCACTACTACAAGCCACTTACATCTCACAACTTATCATGCACAAGAACCACTCTCACCCTTCCCCAAATAACCTTGCTACAAGTCTTAACCATGCTCGTGTAGTCGTATGACAACACATCAACCTCAACATTCTCATCAACCTCAACATTCTCATCTCTGCAACATGAAGCTAACGAACGTGCCGTTTGTTCACCGCTCAACACTCTAAAGGACACCTGAAGCAAACTTTCTTATTGCCCAAATGGATCCAATACAAGGAAAAACATTCTAATCTATCGTCTCATCAACCTAAATGACCAGACCAAAGTGCCAAAACTTGTCTCTTTGGCACCGGGAGCAAATCAATCCTCACTCCTACTTCCAACTTAGTTGTCCAACCAGTGAAGCAACATTCCATCTATTCGGTGATAGTCCAGCTCAATCTGCACTCTATTCAAAGCGAACATCAAAAGGACTAAGTGCAGAACCCTGGTGTGACCTCACCTCTACCACAGTACCGCACAGATTCAGCAATCCATACCCATCTATACTATAAACACCTCCACAAGATCTCCTTTGGAAGCTTATCGTATGCCTTCTCAAAGACAATAAATACCACGGTCCCTCTTTTTGACCTTATATTCCTCTATCATTCTTTTTGGAAGGTGAATAGCCTCGGTATTACACGGGTAAGGCATGAAACCAAACTGATTCTCAAAAATGCACACCTCTTTCCTCCACCTAGCCTCAATGATATGTTCTCAAACCTTCATGGTGTGACTATGTATAGTTTAAATAAATTGAACTAAAAAAAAGACTTTGGTCAAGCACTGTTATTCGTGTCTCATGTTCATTTGGAGATGGAGTGTGTGTGTGTAGTATTCCTTTTTGTGTTGCCATATGTTGGGCATGGATAGATTTATTACCAAGACAATTCCATTCATGCATCACTTGAAATTATGAATTGAAGAAAGTTCAGAAAATACACTAATTAAAGGGTAAATCAACTTGTTCTAGCATAATAAATAGGTAGCACTGGGATCTTACTTCCCATAAACGGCCAGGTATTTCCTTCATTAGAGGCGTGAGCAACAAATGATGATGTGAAGATACTGAGTTACCAAGTATCTCACACAGCTTCCTTATTGCATGGGCTGCCTGTAGAATAGCAGTATATGAACTAACAAGACATTAATGAAAACAAATAGAATGAAATACGGGGGGAGCAGTGAATACCTTGCGTTTATTTGACCACGAGGATGACATAATTCCTTCATTGAGAAGATTAACAATTTCATCCAAGTAAAGCTGAAGAGTTACCCGCTCACTATTCATATTTTCTTCCCACATTTCTTGATATAGATTGGAAACAATCTTATCATCCTCAAATCTGCAAAAAAAAAAGCAGTTCAAATTTACGAATTTGGGTGGCCATGGTATACAAGGTGACATTTCAGATTACAAATAAAGGAAAGTGAAGCTAGAAATCAGTCTCAACCTGCTTCAATCAGGAATAGACAATGTAATTAATAGAAGCAACAGAATGATATTATAGACCAAAAGACGTAGTAGTAAACCATGTTTTACTGCACATGAAATAAATTTGAGAAAGCTAGTAATATTTTGCACAAGGTTCATTCAATATCAATATTTTTAACATATCAATAAATCTTCATTTTATACACTTGAAGAAAAATTGCAATACAAATCTGAATCACATTCAATTGTTTAACTCTTTTTTCATCTCACAGTGACACAATATAAAAGAGAAATAAATTAAGACAAATAGTTCAGCATGGAATTCAGTAGGTTACTGTGGTCATGAAGCAACAACCATTTAAAATTATGCCTTTAAACTTCATTCCAGTATGCTTTTATGGTTCATTCCATTACCCTCCTAGATTAGACTTAATATTACCTTCAAAACCAAGAAATGGATATCCGAGTCTATGTCCTGAAACACCATCTTATAAGTGACTCAAGGTTTAAAAAGATACTTTTCATATGGAAACAGAAAAAGTGGTCCACATTAGGTGTACCAAAAAAAGAAAAAAAAACAGCAACACTGGTATTTTTTAACAAAGGTGCACATAGTGGATTTAAATGTGAAGCGCTCAAAAGTCATCAAATAAAGAAAAATAATTTAGCTCGCATACTTCAACATTGCATGAAGAGGATAAGGTTCACTTACAAGTTACAACTTACAATGAGATATGAGTGGACTGATGGGGAAGGGGGAACTTCTTGACTATGAATAACAGTGATACAGGAACTAGGTAAAACATTATCTCACAGGAATAGATATAATGTTGAAATAATAAATACGAGCTTGAGTTTGACCTTGATATAAAAACAACAGGCACAGTTATGGCACTATATCTACTCAAAATATCGGTAGCGTTAGAGGAGTAGCTTTTCAAAAGAATTGCGCATGATATCTGAGAATTTCTATCACCACTTTGCAGAGCAGCAGTGTCCTCAATTAACTTCTGGGCCAGAGTAGGAGATGCATACTTCAATACTGTTGCACAAGCATTTGAAAATCCACGTTTTGCAGTAGCACTTTTTTCATCAGTAACTACATGCAACAGGAGCTTCAGTAGCATGGAAATAAATGGCTTGATATCATTACCAACTTTTTGAACCAATGAACTTAAGAAATTAGCCACACCAACCCTGCAGATTAAGTGACCATCTTTATTAGAGATTTAGTCTGAATGGGGTCAAAAAAAAGCCAAGAAGATATCCATTAATGGAGAATGAAATAGTAATGTTTATCAGGTTTTAGAAAAAGATGGGATCATTAAGTATACAAACTGCTCTAACGAAAAATATGTCAGAAATACTCAGATTTCGTGTTCTACCAAAATATAAAAATTTCCTGCTCAATTTTTTTAGAAGGGAGATCATTGAGTACACAAATTGCTCTAACAAAATTATGTGTGCTACATATGCAAGTCGTAAACGAAGAAAATTATTTTGGCCAGTAAATGCCGAAATGCATCAAGGGTCTAACGGAAACGCATCAAAGCAGCCACCCAATTATTACAGGGGTAAGATTGTGTACACCCTGACCCCCAACCGCAACAATGTTAGGATTGTTTGTTGTGGCTACATATGCAAGTAAAGAGTAATAAAAACACATTATAAATCTGTGCAAAAATGCATAAACAAAATTGACGAACTTGATAATTTCAAAGCTAGGTTTTCGCCACAGACAAGGGAAAGTATTTGAAAGAATACATGTTATTTCAAAAAAATTTAAAAGATATATACCTCCCACACAATTCTTAAGAGTCATAAAATATAATAATAAACTTAATAAAAGTCTTAAATCTACCTAGTGTTTAAGCCGACACCTACACGAACCAGATGAACAATACGAGGAATCAATAACTCCAGTGAACCAGAATCAATAATATCTATACAACGCTCCAGTGTTTCCCACATTGGAGAACTTTTGGCCATTGATATGCGTAAGTTTTCAAGTTTCTCTGTTTGTATTCCAACATTTGCAGCATGCAACTGAGAAAGAAAGAGAAATTAGGTGATGCCAATGATTCATAAACAGATTTCAATTTCCAAGCGATTCAACATGAAGTATTTTGCATCCTCAAACTAACTGAACTTCAAATAAGAATAATGAAGCAATGCAGATGGAAAAAAAAGCACCAGACCTCAACATAGTTCAGCCCTTGGTCTTCCAGGCTTGATAGGCTTTCCAGCATGCAACACACCAGATCTGGCAAATGTGGACGAAGTGAAATACCGGCACTCTGCAAATACATAAAATAATCAGGACAATGAGAAATTCCAATAATGGAAAGAATGAGCAATCATTTTTAATACAACAACAGACCCAGGGTTTTATCAGAAGTCGGGTTTGGGGCGGGTATGAAGATGTGACCTTTAAATAATGGGACAGCATAACCAAGTCCACATCAGAGCAAACTTTCATGCAAGCCCTAGAATACCAAATATTCCTCAACCGCGAAAAAATAGGGAAAACAGAAGCATGAAATTCATATTACTTCATCCCCTATAGGAACCTAAGTCAATGCACAAGAGTATTTGTAATTTTGTACCAGAAAAGTGTACAGATAGATAGCATATAAATCATGAACAGTGTGCATCTACACACACTGGAATAGCTGGTAAAACATTTTGTGTTAAGCATGAACCTTCATATCACTTATTCTAAAACAATGAAAACTAATTTTGAGCCTGAAACATTTCCCATTTACAGTGAAAAATCTGATCTCTTATTTGAGCCATTGGGCCACATCCTTCCGAAGGTCAACTAATATATTAACTTGATAAACCAGAACAGGTCAGGCGGTGTACTCTGTAGTTTGTATGTTACTTCTAACAACAGCAAACATGACAAATGAATGTAAGAGAGCACTTCAAATAAAATATAATTCAGATCCCTTCTTGTATGCAAGTTAAAGATTTTTGAAGGCTAATTAGCTCAAATAAACTAGGCATGATATTGCTCTTTACCCCCAACAATAATACCTCAATACGAATTGGTCAACTCAGAAGTAAACAAACTTCAAAACAATTTTATGGAATAATATCTAATGATATGCATTTACTACTTATTTTAGCACACAACTCCTTCACCTTAGCAAGCTTTGTAATCACTCCAATGGAAGCCTTGCGAATATTTTCAACTTTGCTCATTATACCATCAGTAATCAACAAAGGTAATACAATATCCATCGCTAGTTTTGCATCTGAGGCTTCAGTGAGAGAGATATCACATAGTCTCTGTGTTAATGAAGTGACAGCACGGCATAATCTATCTCCAGCATTCCGAACTGACTCTTTGATGTCATCCATGGCACGAAAAGCAGTGCTCCATATTCTTTTCAAATACTTATTAACCTAAATTACAAAACACACAAAGGATAACACAAAAATTTTCAAAGGCACCTTAAAAAGCTAACAAATTATCAAAATTTAGAACTTAGAAATCCAATATTATGATGTAAGCTTGTGAGCTGCTATAGACTACGATATTTTCAAACATGACCAAGTGCTTGCTCGAGTATCCATGAGCCCATCAAATTCTTATACGGTTCCTACACCATGAAAAAGATGAGGTTTCTTAACCGTGTATGAGCACATGCAGATTTGATCTTATCCCTCCAAAACAACCCTTAATTGTCTCCACCTAAATTGTAACATACGAAATGCAACACGATAAACAAATAAAGTTCATGATCTCATTTCATGGATCCTACACAAAATATTGAAGTTTCTAAAACCAATCTGTATCAAGTATCGACGCATGAACATTTCTATGCCATCCCTTCATAACAATCTTATTCGTTCCCCCCCCCAAAGTAGCTAGATTCAAGAGTACAATATTGAAAAAGAGCAAGCCAGCTTGCCCATTTAGTGCAAATGGATGTCAATTATTGAAAGTGATTGGCCAAAAAATTAAAACAAAACCGAAGTGATGACATGCAAGAACCTCAGAGTCTCAAACACAGTAAGGAAATTAAAAAAATTGAACATCGTGCAGCTAATATACTGGGGATTCAGTGAGTTAAAGAACTACAAACAAACATACTAAGCTTCTACTTCAAATCTTATTAAGTGTTGTCTATATGGACTTACAGGAGTTACGGACAAAACGAGATTCCTGATAGGGAGTAGGGACAAATAAAAAACAATAGGGCAGGAGTAATCTCACCACATCAACAAAGGATTGAGATATCCAAGAACTTACATAAGTAATTTCCAGTGCAAAAGCAAAGATTCCCACACTATCCAGTGCCAATGAAATAATTTACTAAGCTCTATTAAGAAATTCCAAATATTTTCATACCCAACTTATTGAGAATGTTTTACAAGTACCTTCAAGGCTCCAACCCCCACTGCAATCAGTTTTAAAGGTTTCTTATCCATATATTAAGCACATGAAGCAAGTACTTTTAATATCTAACATTCTAGCCACTTAATTATTTTCATTTGTGTTGTGTGTGTTTTTCCTAGTGGGAACAGACTCAAATTGGTACTTTCGTTTGATAAGCAGGTTTTTAAAATTGTTTGAGCATTGGTAGATGATCACTACAAAAGTACAAATACAAAACACTTCCCTTTCAAATGATTATCTAAAACAAAATTGTCATCTAATGGCCTGCAAATATAACAAAACAAGATAAGAACCTGATCAAATCTTCTCCCTTGTAATATATCTGAAAGTGCAAGACAGGAAGCCTCCCGTGAGCGCCAAAGTCTAGATCCACTTTGAACCAAAAGATCATGAACAATTAAGTCAAAATGTTCATCAATAGTGCTCTTTGAATCTCCAACCAGAGACCGCCAGATGTGTGTCATTGCATCCTAAAGTAAAAGAAAAGAGTAAGCTATGTGAGACTAAGTATCCTATTAAAGCTTTCGGCACAAAATAATTAAAAAGAAAGTAGCAATTAATGGTTCAGAGAGAGAGTAAGAGAGAGAGGGAGAGAGGGAGAGAGAGAGAGAGAAATGCAAAAAAATTAGAGCTCAAGATTCCCTGTAGGAAAAATGTTGAATACTTCTGTAGCATTGAAATAATAGAAGGTAATGATGGATTGATGGGTGTATTGTTATGATTTCATGCAGGCAATTGGTTGAATCTTTTAAGCCATAAGTAGACACATAAAATGTAGTCCGACTTATACACCAACGGAAATAGCTAAGCTACCATGTACTACATTGGTCTCATAAAAAGTTTCTGCACTTCCGTTTTCCGTCCCAAAATAAGGTTGCACCTTCCTTTTAAGGAAAAAGTTGTGTGGCTAAAATTAACTATCTCCTCTACATAAATCTCAACTACAAAACTTCTTAATAGTTGCGGCAGGTCAAATGTGGAAACATACAAAGAGAGGTAATATAATTGACAATCTTAAAATGAAAGAGGGCTACTTAAACGTATAAAGCCATATACCTGCACATTTTTATCCGGATCATATTGGTAACGAAGAAGTCTTGGAATCAAAGTACATAAGTATGGTTGCAAAGCATCCCCTGCATATTTCGCTATCTTAGAAAACCCAAAAGCAGCACCTCTTTTTGAGTTCAAAGAGGACTGGTAATTGGCCAAGTCCATGAATTTATAGATCAAGTCTGGCTTCCCCATCTCATTAGCCAAATTACAAAGTTCCTTATATGTACTTAGCTTCCCACCAGTAGGACTTTCACCAATCAGACCCTCTTGAAAAACTTCGGAATCTTCATTGATCTAAAAGGGGAAAAAAGAGAAAGGGGTTAGAAGTATACACATAAGAGAAATGTCAAAGACAGTAGCTCTGTGTCCAATAAGTACATCAAGCATATGCCATGGAACTTCCTCTGGCATGAGGACCATGAGGTGTAAGAAGTACGATGTACAATTTCCTTAGTTGGACACTTGGGCTAAAAGAAAGAGCAAAAGAACGGAAAATGGAGCCAGAACATGAGAGTTTAATACCAACCTTAACTGCTCTTTTCCTCTTTCCCGATCCAGTTAGTGTACCAACAAGAGCATCAACTAAGTTTTTCTTCATAGAAGCATCACCAATTTCATACACAATACTAAGCCCTTGAGATGCCAGCTCCTGTATGAGCTCATTTTGATCTGCTAGAAGGTGTGAAAATGCTTCCTGAAATCAATATGAGCAATGTCAGACATTTTATTAAATCTATTTTTGAGAGTGGAAATAGCGCATACAGGTAGCCCTAGTCCTGACTCCTATTACAACCAATTCAAAAACGTCATTATTATGAGTAAATAAATAAATAACAGAAGACGTAGAAAGTCAGAAACATGCAAACATAAAATGATTTCACGTGGCTTCAAGAGCTATTGTAAGTGATTTCATGAAATATATAATTTTCCTCTATTGAGCAGCTTGGCTTTCAAAATAGATTGCCAACCAGGGATAACTTGTTTTTCTTGGATATAGGGTGACAGTGCAGCTTTTGTGGAATGGAGCAAGAAATGCTAGCACAATTGTTATTCAAATGTCCTTTCTCTAGAACAGTTTGGAGGGCTTGGCACAGGCCACGGGATATGTCTACCTTCTTGAGTGTCATCAAGCGAATGTGTAAGGAATATGATGGTGCATGTGTGAGGAGCAAGACAGCTAGACTTTCTTTCTATTGCATGATATACACACTTTGGAAGATGCAGAAGGCTATCTACTTTGATTTATTATCCAAATTTTGTAATGATGATGTCATTAAGAGTTAAGACTAAGGATTTGATGTATAATATTTGTATTACATTTATCCTGAACCTTTGCTAACTTTTGGATGTACTTAGGTGTGATTGTATGTCTGGTCGTGGTTGTTTGGTGTAATTGGTTAAGGTATTACACAACAAATAAAAATTAAAAAATGAAAAATTTTCTGGCCTCACTTCCTTAACTAAAAAGAAACTAAAATTGGCCTCACTCCTTTATTTAGCAGCCGAAAAGGAGTAGTTAGTAGTGACCCTACAATTGTATTTTAAAATTTAAATATATATTAATATAAATTTCGTTTTCATGTATGGAATTTTAATGGATTTACATAATATTTTCATATAATAATCAAAATACGCATAGCGGGATAAGTATATAGCTAAACAGATAAATGGTTACTCAAACAAATGTACATGCGGATTGGATGTTAAACACCTTGGGTATAAGATTTCCAAATCTGCATGTGTTTACCAATCGGATGTCCTTAATCAAATATGGATACTAGTTGTTCTAAACGGATTCGGATACTTTTCATATAAACAAATACGGATACGGACGATAATCGAATTTTTGTTTACCCATTTACAGACCTACTCTCAGAAACCCCACAGAAGTTAAAAGTACAATACAAAATTAAATGTCATTTTGTTGTGTAAACTGCAACACTAGACGAAGTTTTCTGTAGATGCAAAAAACAGGAACTGAGAGTGCAGAGTATTGAAGTTCTGGTTCAAATATTGGGTTGTTAAAAAGATGAACCTGGATGTCTGGAAGCAGTTTTTGGATAGTTGGATGGTGACCACAATATATTGTCAGTGACAGAAGCCATACAGTTCCAGCACATCGCTCTTCCTTTCGGCTGCTAAATAACAGAACATCAAACAGCTTCCTAGTAATTGCATCTCTTGTAATATCATGATCATTACTTTTGTCAAAGTCCATACTGCTAGAACTAAGCAATGAGGACGATATGTTTCCCATCAAAAAGTTTGAGCTTGTGGAAAGAGAAGTATAGTTTGTTTTAAGAATAGTATCAGGAGTCACAGGAACACCACCCCATAGAAATGCAAGAGCCTCACCAGCAGCAAACAAGATATCTTCTACCTGGTCAACTCCAAATTTAGGTAAAGATAAATCCAAATAATATACCTTTATGCAGGATAGTGTCTATGAAGCATCGAAACATGCTTCTTAATCACAAAAACAAGTGTCTCCCCCATGTGTGTGTGTGTGTGCGAGTGAGAGAGAGAGAGAGAGAGAGAGAGAGACAGGCTTTAAAAATACTTGTAGAACTATAAATAAAATATAAAATCCAGATATACTTGAAAGCCTTAATCCAACCATTTTTCCTAGTATTCATCTCAATAATGTTGAACACTTGAAGAGAAAAAATTAAGTACTAGAGAGCTGTTAAGGAAAAGAGCCCGAGAATGCCTCCTGAAAAATGCTTGAAAAAATAAGAAAAGAAAAACTAGCTGTTAACAAAACATGTAAGCTTTCATCTACCTTTGAGTGGCAAAGGCTAAAAATCAGGTCCAGAGCATTATTCAAATTTGCAGCTGAACTCTCCTTAAAAGACATGTGCCCCAAAGATATAACAATTCGTTGACCAGCTTTAATATCATCACTACTAAGAAGCTTGATCAATTTTTCATTCAAAATAGTCAATACAGAAGCTGCAATTTACAACTTTTATTTTAGTTAAACCTAAAGTTTTTAAAATTGCAATCCTAAATCATTTCATTCACCAAACTCATAACAGCACACCTGGACTGGTGTCATGAAGAAAAGGAGACAGTGAAAACGAAAGTCCAATATGACCTAGTGCTTGCATTGCAACAGAAGCCAATGAAGGTGCCTCCAAGCTAACAACATTAGTAAGACACTTAAGCACACTTTCAAACAACGACCCTGGAATCTGCAAGGAAGATATGGAAACAGAGAAAAAGAAAATAATATGAGAAACCTTATTGCTTTTGTGATTTTTGTTTTTTTGTTCGCCAATAGCTATATGAAATGTCAGAGCTCATTAAGTATTTGTAATATTTAATAAATTCAATCAATCACCTTTCTTACAAAAGGTATTAATAAGACTCAGACCTAGAGACTTGCTCTTAAAAGCAAAGCACTTGTCAGGAAACGTAATTGGGAACCAAAAACATTATCTCATATTGGAACCACAGAAAAATGCTATTTTCCAAACCAAATAGTAATCATCAAATATCCACAAATGATAGCAAATTGATGCATAAACATAATGTGGAGATTAATTTTTTTATAAAAAGAAATGATGACTCAAAATGTCAGCCTATGACAGCCAACACAACTCTGGCAAAACAGTAGAGGTGCAACCTTTGCAGATAACATCCATGGAGACTTTGAGATGTGAAGCTTTACCAGTATCTATGATGACGCCCAGACCCAGCGGTGCAAGGATTACCAGATGCATCCTCCATCCCTTTAGCCACCACCACATTTCAAATCCAACCCCTAGAGCAGTCATGAAGGAGAAACCCCTCATTCACAACCAAATAGTCTTGGGTGTGTTGGTCCACTTGGTCGGTTACGGAGTTGTTTTGATGTGGGCGTGTTTTTTTATGTTTGTTTTCGTTTTTTTTTGTGAAGAGGGGTGGCATACACCTGATTTTTAAAGTATGGCTAAAACCAAATGGGATGGAGCATTTGGGATTGGAGATTTCAGGGAGGTTTGGTGTATTTGGGGGGGTTACAATCAAGCAGGGGTATGCGTTTGGGAAATCCCCAACGAAACAGGGCATAAAAGACGTGGATCATGTACACAACTTTAACTTTCAATTTTTTTTTAAAAAAATTATCGATTAAAGTTACTTATGCCGTCAGAAAGAAGGTGTCGTCCAGTCGTAGAGTAATCCATGACGAGAATGGATATTATATATCTGGCAGCCGGCCCAATAACCACTAAAATACAGCCCAATAGCCTATGGGAGAAGGTAATCAATAGGAGTAAAATGAGTCCTAAATGTCCAAAATACAGCCCAACTGCCACACTGCCAACTCCTCCACCACACTGCAACCACCGCTGCTGCCACACTGCCAGCTTTGCCACCACGTTGCTGCCACACTGCCAACTCTGCCGCCACACTGCCACCACCACTGCCGCTACACCACCACTGCCGCATCACTGCCAACTCCCCCGCCACACTTCCACCCTCTGCCAACACACTCACCATCACCACACTGCCAACTATGATGCCACACTGCCACCACCACAAAGCTAGTGTTCATCTTATTCTTATCTCAGTTACTCATTACAAGTTCAACTAAATTACAAGTTTGCCATGAAATACTAGAACTAGAGGTGGACAGGAAACGGTACCGGCGGTTCCGGCACCCGGACACGCGACGGCGGCAGCTAGGCGGTGGTGGAGAACCGGTACAGGTTCCTGGTTTGGGGAGTGGAGTACCTGAACCGGCGGTTCCGGGTCCAGTTCCGAACAATTTTTCTTATAGCCATTTGGAGCTATGGGGGAAGGGGTGGGGGGATAAAAATACATCCTATATATACCCCTACTTTTGTTTTATAAATCACACCACTTTAAACAATCTTCTCTCAATCTATCTATTCTTCAATTCTCTCAATCTCTCACTCTTACTATCTCAAAAATTCATATTATTAAAATTTATATGTTAAAACATTATAAATATATTATAATATATTAATAATTTCATATTATAAATTCATAATATATTACTCATATTAGAATATTATACTATAAATAGATTTACTAATATATTATCCAATATCAATATTTATATTATCCAAAATGTCAGATAGAAAGTCGGTCGATAGGGAAAGTTTGAACCGGAGAAGTTTAACTAGAGACAAAGCCCCCGTCACGTCCGAAGGTTCAAGCTCACGTGTCTCTCAGCCGAGACACTCTGTCTCTTCCTTTCCGACAATCCTAAAGCAATATCTAGCCGACGTAATGAATGATTAAGAATCTCATGAGTTCATGGGGACGAGAAATGATGTGAATCCTCAAACTCTTGACGATATTTTCGAGGACGATGAGGAAACAGAGGAACCAACTCCCAAGAGCAGCGTCCCTACCGAGGAAAGTGGGGGAGGAGAGGTAAAAAAACCTGTCTGATTTATTTGTATATCAATTTGATAATAAACAAACAGTAAATGGCATTATTTGGGGAACTTGCAAACATTGTAGGATAAGAATAAATATGGGGATCTCTGGGGTTATGGTCCAAAGCACCCCGTGGAGTTCACCAAAATGAATGCAAAAGGAAAACGGACCCTGATTTCTCGCTTTGCAAACAAAAGTAAGGGCGACCTCTTTGTTTATAGCGACGAGCAAAATAAACAAAAAATGACTGAGATGATTTGCAAGGAGAATTTACCTTTCATGCTCTCTGAAAATTGTGGCTTTAAAATACACTAAACCCTCAAACAAGAGGGTACTTAAGAAAAAAAATTAAAAGAGAAATAATTAGACAATATAAAGTTGAAAAAAAATTGACTAACTTTCTTCTTACTTTTAAATCTCGTGTTACCATTTGTTCTGATATTTAAAGTGAAACATATCATAACTTACCGTACATGGGTGTTACTTGTCATTGGATAGATACTAATTTGGTGATGCATAAATGTGTTCTTGCTTTTCGTGACTTCAATAAATCTCACACGGGTGACAATATTGTTCTTTTGCTTGAAAGAATACTATTTACTTGATAAAGTGTTTGCATTTGGTTTGATCATGCTAATAATAACACCGTTGTCATTCCTAGACTTAGAGAATATTGTCCCCCTAGCAGCTCCATGGCTAGATTTCTACACCAAAGGTGTGCATGTCATATTTTAAATTTGTGTGTTCCACTGAGGTTACAAGCTATGGGGAGGGTATTGACCAACATTTAGTTTGGTTTAAAATTAAATCAGGGTAGTCGTTTGCATTCTCATGCATGGAAGTCTTTCGGTAAATCTAAGAATAGAAAACCAATAACATTTGCTAAGGACAATACGATTAGATGGAATAGTACCTATAAGTTGATTGCACAAATGTTGAGGTATAAAGAACTTGCTTCATTTTTTAAGTATGAACTTAATTGTATGACTGATTTGAATAAATTCTTATTGTTTAAAAATTGAACAAAGTGTTGGAAGTTTTTAATAATGCAACTCTAACTTTCTCGCATGTTTATAAACCTACGACAAACAAATTGTTTTCCGAGTGTATTACGATTGCTACATATTTTCGTGAAAGTATGTCTAATCCAACTTCGTCCCCCTATGTGTATCCTATGAAGGATAAATGGTGTGCTTATTACTTGTATATTCCTGGTATTTATAAAATTGGTATTATTTGTGATCCATGCTTTAATACTGAGAAATTTAAAATTCTCATAAAGTAATACTATATTTGTCTTTTAGATGACAATGGTCATTATTATGAGCATTTAATAGAATGGACAAGACAGAGATAATTCCATTAAACTCCTTGAGTATTTTTATAAAAAAATTCAACTTATGTACGGTAATCCTACGGAAGAAACAGCAGCTCCTCCTGTTCCAAGGATAAAGAAATGTTTCAAAGGGATCGTTGGTGGCCTCTTGGCATGAAAAAGTAAGAGTACCTCTACCTCTACAAGTAGAGGTGGTAAACCATAAGTTCACACAAAGAAATTGCGATGTACCAAGGCGTCCATGCGACGACGATGAAGATAACAAAAGCGAGTTCAACGTACTCGAATAGTGGAAGCGGAATGAACACATATTCCCGTTACTCGGAATGCTAGCTAGAGGGGTTATCTATGTCGATTTCAACGGTAGTTGTGGAACAAGAGTTCAGTTCTAGCGGCATGGCGTCGAGCACAAGAGGTAGAATACGACATTAATACGCAAAACTACATGGACGCAACCACAAAGGGAAGTGGTAGTTCCGACGAATAACTTACTTAGTATTTTTTTAATTAAATTGTAATTAGTTGAATTTAGGTGACACGATTTATAAGCTTCATCGAGGATTTCTTTACTGTTCTTTACCTCGTCACTTTTCTTGAATCGTTAGGGTAATAAATGTGATTTTACTAACCAACTTTCATTGTTTAAATAACTACATTATTAGATTAACTCTTTTGGTATATACTCCTTATGTCCCGGAGTATTTGCCCAATTTTGACTTTTTCGGTCAAAATTAGTAAACTTTGACCCCAATTTAAATGAAAATGATATTAGATATTGATACAAAAATATTTTTTCTCCCTCCATCCCACAGTATTCGTCCAGTATTCTTTTTTTGGTTGTCCCATAGTATTTGTCCACTTTCCATTCTAGGGAACAAAAATAATATAAAATGACTCTTTTGCCCTCACCATTTACGCCATTTCTCACCTTTATTGAATTCCAATAACAACAAAATCGACAAAATTGACGCTTCCAGATTTCTAATTCCGTCTCTCTCACCTTCACAAGCGCCGCCTTAGAATCGGAGCTGGATGTTTTCTCTGATGACAGCTGGAGTTGGACCACGGTCGGATGTCTTTGGATGAATTATCAAAATTTAGATCTTCAATCTGATTGTAAAATGTTTTATGAAATCTTTGATAGTCTCTTCGATTCCGTCACTTGTTGGATTTTTTGTTCTCTCCGACTATTGTTGCTTTTTGTTTCTTGATCTTCAATCCGATAGTTGTTTTCTGTTTTTTGATTTTGAAATCAAGTGTTAAAGGCAGTGTTTTTTGTTTTAATGAATTTAAAATCAACTTGGAGTGGTAAATGAGTGTTGGACAGTGGTCTCGATAGTGACGAACTGGTGTTGGATGGTGGCAAATTAGAGATGGCTGGTCTAGGCGGTGGCAAAATAGAGCGAGACAGTGGAGGATGACGAGGATGAAGATTGAGTCATTTTCCTTAGTTTCTTGGTTTTTGGTCCAAAACAAAAGTGGACGAATATAGCAAGATGGAGGGGTTATTAGATTTATTATATAAGATATTTTCAAAATATTATTTTATCTAATTAATATACAATTTATTTTTTGTTTAATTATAGGTCAAAGGTTGAAAATGGTTGACTGAAAAAAGTCAAAACTGGACAAATACTCAGGGACGGAAGTAGTGATATTATTATACAATATTTAAAAAAGATATAGGACCGGAAGTTGGCCCAAAACCGAAACCGCCGGTTCCAGAACTGACACTAGCACCGCGGGTGACGGGTGGTGGTTACAGGAGTGGCAGTACCAAAACTCGCGGTTCCAAAACCGTACCGTGTCCAGGACTAACAAGAACTAAGGTATACTTAGAACTGGCGATTCCACGACTTGTCGAAGTAGACGATGACTATTCAAGCCCAAACCAAACCAACCCGACCCGATAAGACCCGATCCAAACTTCATTTAGTTTTTTTAAAAAAACGCTACTACTCCTTATTTTTTACCGACTTGGACCTCATTTAACTCGCAATCTAGATCTCAATCCCTCTTTATTTATTTATCTAATTTTTTTTTATTTTTAATTTCAATTCTTTTTTATTTTTTATGCATTTGATATTTGAGAAAAAACTATATTTTTTCAATTCTTTTTTATGCATTTCAGTTAATATAGTACGAACTAATTTTTTTTTATTTCAGTTTTTCATTTATGTTGCGATTTTGCTTTGAAATTAAAATCAACTTTTTTTGTCGGAAGTGAAAATAAAAATTGATGTAGTATTTGAGATTTGAGAATCAGGTTAGTAAGTGAGTCCCACCTTTTATTATTTGTTTTCACACTATTTCTTCAGATTCTTTTTAGTGAGGTTTCCCCCTTTATTCCTTGTATTTATATTTTTGTACACTCTTTCAAGTTTCAAATATGGTAGAATCTCTAAATGTTGGGTTTGAAGAGCTTGAAGGATCAAATTCCTAATGGTCCCGGATTGAAGTGTGTTTGGAGGTTCACTAAAACAAATCGGAGTGACACCATTTGCCTTATTTGTAATAAAATTCATGAAGTCTATACTTTGATTCTTGGTTTCTTTTTAAAATTTTCTTATGTGCTTTTCAACGATTTATATATTATATATACTATTACTTCTTTAGAGATGCTATGCTACTTATGCCTCAATGTCCGCAGTGTGTTTGTCATGCATGCGCATCAATAGTGCATCACGCATCGAGGCGCTAGTGCCCCTTTGTGCATTAGTGCGCATCGCGCCTTAAATAACTATGAAACTAGCATGATACAATGTACAAAGAACCATGCTCTGCAGCAGTTGTCTTCCATTTTCCAACAAGAAAATCAATGTTCATGTAGTCTTTATGAATTTCATCATTAGAAACATCAAAAACTGCGTAAATGGCTAATTGAATCAGATTGTATACCCATTTAGTAAATGATCTAAAAAGTGATTACAGAACTTACACAAGGTGTTCTCGACATGGAATTTGCAGTAATATATCCTAGAGCACAAAGATGTCCATGTGTCATCTCAAACCTGGAAGATAATGTTATTCAACTTTGTAATCAGTTAAAATTGCTGCATCAACAAAATTATACGGAGTATTTTAAATGTTAAAAGTTCATATCAATGGCTACAACCTGAACTTAGATGATGAACTAACAGCGGAGATCAATTCATGAACAAGGGTAGATAAGGTGTGAATGGGAAGCTCACAAGAAGCAATTCCAAGTATTCGTGACATAGATTCACGTGTATCAGAGTCAATATGACCCAAATATTGCTTCAACCAAGACACTTTGTTAACATAGCGTGATGATATCACCTGTAAATTGGAAGCATATTAAAAAGCAAGCACAAAAGGTATCTGTGAAATCATTTTCATTAATAAGGTATATACATCCATTAACCTACTTGGGGAGTGTATGATGCAATTATTATTAATGCATTGGAGGCATTAGCAAGCAGCTCAACAGAAGCTTCATACACCATTGCATGTTCTAGCAGCAGACAAAATTGGTCCACAGAAGAAAGAAATTCAGAATCTTCTAGCAAAACACTCTGTTGGGCATCCACCTCAAAGCACTTCAACAAAAACTTGATCATGGCAATGTAAGTTTTAGATGGAAAAAGCATGGCCCCCCCAACATTGCTGGGATCTAGAACTCCTGGGTGCTTTTCAATTATATAGCCGAGAATGTCAGGAAGCTTGGGATACTGCAAATTGTGATTTTGGCTAACAGATTTCCTTTGACCTTCATTAAGACATAATCCTTCCAAAGCAATTTCCCTTTTACAAAAAGAAAATGAACACACTGTGTCAAGGAAGCAGAACTATCTAATACCAATTGAAATCCAGCACCAAAAGAACTCATAAGAGAAACTGTAACAAATAAACAACAGTAATGTGTGGGTAGGATCTTAAATTGTGGATCGTAACTCGAATCATAAGATCCTGGAGTAGTAATGTTTAAAATTTATAACATGTACATAATTTAAAAAATAAGAAGTCACAAATCATAATCATAACAACAAATGTATAAGGTCATCTCATCCAAACAAAAAGAACTTTAAAAGGCTAAAGGCTGAGAATGTGAGAGACTGAAGCCTTTTATTTGGGTTGCATATCTATGCCTTGGGAAAGAGGCCCAAGAGTTGGATCTGAGAAAGGGAAAAAAGGCCCCTGCCCAGTAGTGGCCTTGTACAATACGCAGACTAGGAAAAAAACAGCCGCAGAGGAGAGAGTTTTTGAGAGACGGATTGATCTAAAAGGTGCGACTCTTCCTTCTCTATTTTTGTCAACTCTTTCTTCTTTTGTCTTTCCAGATTGAATTGCCGTGACGATTCTACGCCATCATCGACGATCCTAACTGATCCTAGAAGTATCTAATTACAGCAGCAATCCGGATCAATAGCCCTAGCACTGATTGTACAAGCGTACAATGCTATGATATGACTTGCGATCTTAACAACAATGTACTAAATGCATCAATGTTTGGAGACAAACAACCTTTCATGTCTCCCAAGTTTTAATAATTATCAATAGTACTTTATTGAAGGAAATAAGCAGTTTACCAGCAGTAAACAATTTTTATATACATCTAATTATTCAGCTAAAATATACTCCTTAATATATCTATGTCTTAAACCACCAAGGTTCCCATGACATTGGAACCCAATATCATGGGAACCCCACCCGTCTTAAGCATATACTAGGATTTCTAAATTTTACAATTGTAGAGTTCAGTAATAATAATGATCCCATCCCAAGTTTTTTTTCTTCTCTTGAACTTGAATGGCTAGGAATTATGCACATTGTCCCCGACTTTCCTTGCAGTCTTTCTTAGTTAAACTTGAAAACAAGAGATGACGAAGATTCCTCCACCAAGTTTCCTTAGAAGAGAGATAGTTTTGTAAACAAGAAAATTCAGAAAGGTATCGACTATGAAGCAAAAAAAGCACATAGAGACTGCAGATACAACTATAAACCACAGTACATGGGAGAAGGAGATATTCAAATTCACGTTCAAAAAGTGCAACACACTGGAAAAAAAAAGAACCTAAAAAACTGGACAGTAATAATAATGACAAGCTTATTGGAAACTCATAACAAAACTAGATAAATATTCAAAAGATATCACTTAACCAAACACATAAGTTATTTAGAAAAAGATTATCACACCGCCACACCTTATATCCAACTTTGGATCTGCTGCTCCGAGCATACAAATAAATCTGCTAGGACAATGTTGCATGTCAAACAAAGATGTTGCCCATCTAATTGCACAAAAACGCACTTCACTTTGTTCCTTGGAAACAACAAAATTATTATTTTAGATGAGGAACTGTATGCAAAACTATACAATGGATACAACCAAACTCCAGTGCAGAATGTAGTGTTACCACTTTCGAACTCTTGAGCAAGAGTGACTCCAAAGCCTTTAGCACGTCTGGTGGTGCATCCTGAACACCAAATAGAAACCATCAGAAAACGAAGGACAAAACTGAGAGCCGAAATAGATAGATAATTCATAAAAGACCTTGTAAGCAACAGCAAGAGAATTGGTAGCTTCTTGAATATTTAGACGAAGAAACTGGTCCTCGTATTGCAGTGCATCAAAAAGCCGAACAGCGATATCAATTTTATCTCTAAAAGTGTGTATATTAAACGTTACATAATCCTCTTAAGAGTTAACGAAAAACTAGGACGACAAAGATGGAATAAATAAATAAATAAATAACAGAAAATACCTAAAGAGTTGAGGCATTCTTAGTGCAATCAATCCAACTGCTTGAAAGGCAAAAGCTTTTCTTTCCCTAGAAATAGCATCTGGAAGAATGTAAATGCATTAAAATTTTGTTCCAAAAAAAAAATTATGTCCATAACAAAGTTCTAAGTTCTAACAGTAAAATCTGCCATTAGGAAACCTGAATCTGATGCTGAGTAGCCATCGAAAGATTTAAGAATCCCAGACAAGATAATAGGCCCCATAAGTTTCAACTGTTCCATTCTTGCCTACATTCATTAAAAAATGCTTATATTCCTAATATACATGGGATAAATAAGATGTATATTATAATGATACAATGGATAAGAACAATATGGCTGGAAAGTATTTTATGATCTTATATATATATATATATATATATATATATATATATATATATATATATATATATATATATATATATATATATGTTCCGGTGAGAATAAGTTCTGATGAAACAAATAAGAATAAATTAGGAACCATAGATCTGATATGCATCTTTCTTGTGCGTGCGTAAAGGGTACTTTAGGTTTTTTACATTTCATCTATCTCTCTCGAATCTATTTTCATCCTATCCGAGAATTCAGCTATTCCATCCCCGCAATTCGTCTCTCTATACACGGCTTCCATCTCCGCAAAATCAGCACTGAACTCCATTCTAGCACATCCAATTCGGATACTTCTCACATGATCTTGTTTTGCTTGCCACAATCAAGATTTCGGTTTCAATGAAATTATATGTTTTTTGATTTATGAATCTATCACAGAAGGCGCCTACAATAAAGATTAGGTATGTATTCTCTCATCTCGTTCTAATATAAATTTCAGAAATGGAATCAGCTCTGATATATGGTATTCCTTCTTTTTGTATTGGTCATTTTACCAAAAAAATTGCACGCGACTTGTTCGACAAAATATCTGGAAGATGTTTTGGTGCTATCTACTTCTAGCCTACTGATTTCACATGATTTCATTTTGTGTACATACTTCTGGCCTTCTGTTTTCATTTCGTGAGAATGATATAAATGATACAATGTGGTCCCATAAAAAATAGATTAGTGCATACCAAAATCTATATAGGGATAGTGTCTAGTTTATGCATTAAGCTTGTATATGCGGATACGTTTCCAATTATGAGCAATAATGCAATAAAGTGTCAGAATTCAGTGTCAAATATGGTTCTTATTAGAAGTCACAGTGCATCTTAATATGATTCTACTGGCAGAATACAGCGTCAAATAAGCTAATTCTGTTATTGACTTATTGTGTGATGGTGTAAATTATCTCAACCGGAATATCGTTCTTAGCCGGGCAAGAACGATAAACTAGTCTAACAAAATACATCAAAATACAAATATGGAGATTTTGACGTGGAAACCTAATTGGGAGAAAACCACGGGCCTTTTTTGGCGGTACCTTGCCAACGGAGGATTTCTATTAATATCGAGGGGTGTACACGGTACATTATTTAGGCTTAGAAGCCATTAATGGTAAAGCTATAAGCTCAATGAAGAAGAAAATACACACACTCTAGAGAGCGTAAGAGTAGTGGGCAGGAGTAGGGAAAAATAAAATGGCCTCCTCCACATTGAAGGTAACCCCTTCTTTTATAGGAAGGAGGGGGGCATCTTCGGAGGAATATTCTCTTATTCCTTCATTTTACTAAACAGGCCCGGTTTGATTATTCTTCGTAAATAATTGGGAAATGTGGGCTGAGCCACGTATTATTTCCCATCAAGAAGCCCTCCACTTTTTAAAGTTGTGAGAATCATCAACTTAAGAAAGTAAACAAGTCCTCTGAGTGTTATCTTCAATCTCCATATGTTGTGTTCTTGATTGGTTTATTGCTAGTCTTCCGAGTCTTCATTAATTTTCTAATTCCTCGAATCAGATATTTTTCCTGCAAAAAATAATACATACAACTTTTTTTTTGACCGGCATATGCCGTGCTCAAATAACTATTATCTTTTCCAAGGAGCTCGGTGTTAGGGTGATTAAAATACGCACGGATAACTATCATAACGAGAGTGATGTTAGTACGATGAAGCAACAATGCTTCAAATAGTTATTTAATTTCCACGAGACCGGAGTTAGTACGATGAAGCTACGGTGCCTCAAATAGTTATATTTTGTCGAGACCGATGTTAACACAAATCATGTGAATGATGTATAACGAAATTAGTATATCGAAGAGATCGACGTTACTTAATACGAATTAAGTACGCTGCAACAGCTTTGTTGAAGATCGATGTTAGCACGGCTAACTCATGCAAGTATCGTCACGCCATGTAGGGACTGTCTTCACAGTGCCTTATAAAAAAGGCTTGACGAATCGGGCGTCCCCGATATGAGCTCGACTGAGACGCCGGTGTACCCAATTTGATTGGGTTCAGACTTACGAGAAAATATGTGCAAGATCGGTGTGTATATCATTCTTGGCCTGGAGTCGAACAAGAACGATCTTTACCAGCGTGCCTGTTTCACATATTTTGATATTTTGTTTTTTAATATACTGAGCGAGACCGGTGCAGTAACTAGCATGCCACGCCGAGCCTGTGTCTCAGTCTTCCTCTTTTTTTATATACTGAGCAAGACCGGTGTAGTAACCAGTGTGCCAGGTCTGGGTTGTGTGTCCGAATTCATCCAAAAGGCATGGGCAAATACCGAAATTATTGCTCCATAGTGCTTGGTGCAATATTAGTGGTGGGACCCAACAAAAATACTCTCCTGCACAATCCACTAACTCTCTCTCTCCTTTTCTCTTTTTCTTTTTTTTAACTTTGCATGTGTCTCCTTAGAGAGTAAATGAAAAGATGCCCCACAACTTTGCTTTTCCCCCTTTCAATGTAATTGATTCCCAGAGTACCTTTCACTTTAAAATGGACACAATACTCTGTATTTTAATTGGATGGGTCCAGCTGGCCTCACATGCTTCCTTTCTCTAATTTATTTGCTATTATTTATTTTCTTCCCCTTATCGTTGGAACTACGAGTGAGGAGCAGAACGGGTGTAGCACGGTGAAGGCGAACATCAACTGCAGATATAAGTTTGAATTGCGGTTGATAATATTCCTTAGGGGAATATTCCCGTGAGCCATGTACGGAGTTCAACAGTAGCAGCGATGAAGAGTCCATTGATTAATGATCCACAATTTTTCCAGACGAAGAAAGATGTGACCCAGAGTTGGATTTCTGCGCCGAAAATAGTCGGTCCCGGATTGCCCAACAACGACTGCATGATTTGAGCTACGTCGGGAAGATCTCCAATGGTGGTGGCAGAAATTAGAAACCACAGATCAACCGTAGACATGAGCGATGATGTGCATCGGAGGGCGATAGAACTCACGAGGCACCGGATAGTTATCGACCATGAGGACCATAACTTCTGGCGGTTATAGTCCTCAACGTCTGCGGGTCAGGGAGTCGATGAGGGGCTGTTGTGGGGAGGGCATCTGATGTCTGTTCAGCTCGCCGAAGAGAAAATCCCGTCAAGTGGGTAGCCGTCCATGGTGGTCTTGAGGATGGAAATTGGAAACGACAGCACACTTATGACTCCAGAATCGGCGGATAGTAGATCCAGTGGAGGTGCGGAACTCATGGCAGACCTCTTTCTGTTTTTGCAAAGATAGCATAAAAACTTCCTTTGCTTTCCTTTTTTGTGTGGGAAAAGTAACTAGATTTCTTGTTTTCCCCTCTGGAATAAATCTCTTTCCTTTTGGACTTGCTTCTCCCTTCTTTAATTTAGATTGATCTCTACCCAAGCATAACAATTTGTGAAACATTGGTTTTTGCTCGGGTCCCATGGGTGGCACCAAAATGATGGTGTAAATTATCTCGACCGGAATACCGTTCTTAGCCGGGCAAGAACGATAAACTAGTCTAACAAAATAACATACAAGTTTTAAATATATAAAAGATTAAAAAACAACACAACAATAAAATATTATTAAAAACTTTGTATTTGAAAAGAAAAGAGCCTGCATTAAAATGGAGTAACAGAAAAATGCATGATAACAAAGTTCAAATCATTTTGTATATCAGATAAACGTATACTCCCTCCGTCCATTTTTAATGTTCCCGGTTTGACTTCGCACGCATATTAAGGAAAGATGTAAATGTCATTGACTTTCCAATTTTACCCCCACCTCATTGCTCTTGTTGAGGAAAAAGCATGGCTGCCTGGACCACCATACCACCACAAATTCTGATTTGAAGCTATAGTTCAGGTTTTGGAAAAGTCCAATTCCAAAGAAGAAGAAATTGAATTGGGCAAGAATGAAAAATCAAATATGAAAGAAAACAAAGAGAAGAAAGAGAAAGAAGAAATCAAACTAAATCCATCGAGGAAGAAAAATCAGATCTGAAAAGAAACAAAGAGGAAGAGAAAATCTAAGTGAAACTGGGAGGACATCAGCTTCCCTTTCTCAAATCCGGTCGAGGACGAGACCGGAAGCTAGCGGCGGCGATGGTAGAGCATAGAGGAGGCGGCGATAATGGAGACCAACGAGACTGGAGGCGGCAACGATAATGGAGGCTGGAGACGGCGACGATGATGGAGACTAGAGACAGAGCCGATAATGGAGACCGACCAGGCTGGAGGCAGCGGCGATGATGTTGTGTGTGTTGGGGTATCTATGAATATTGAATAGCAAACCACAACCAAACAAGAACACACACAAAACAAAAATCAAAACGGAGAAAACGGAACACAAGATTTATAGTGGTTCGGTCGGCTGACCTAATCCACTTTGCAACTAGGTTTTTTATTATCCAGGTGCTCACAGAATTACAAGTACAGAGATCCCTATTTATGAAGACTAAACTAGGGTTGAAAACTTAATCCCCAAGTTAGGCCCAAGCCCACATAGAGAATTAGGGCCGGCTAAATTAAAAACCTAATTTACTGCCATATGGATCGAACAAAGACTAGGGCCGGCTGCCCTTCCTGGTCGAGCCTCCACACTCAATTCGCCCAACAGTGTGGAGGAGGCAGCGGCGCAGATGTAGGTGAAGAAAAATAGATCCACGATTGATGAAGGAGGTGAAGAAGTTGGGTTAGATGGGAAGGGTAAATATGACATTTAATCTAAAATTATTTGCCAAAAAAGGAAGTGGGAAGTGGGAAAATTAAAGTTGGACGGAGGGAGTATAATTTAATAATAACCTTACCTCAGTTGTTCGGGTTTGATCGAGATTTGCCCATTTTAGGAAGTCGTTTTGAGTTTGGTCATATTTGAGTTTGGGTCACAAAATCCTTGTTAAGAACATAGAATTTTTGGGTTGAAAACAAGTCGGGTAAATTTTTGTCACGTATAATTATTTGCAACTATTCAAGACAAGTTTGTGGAATCCTTTGGTGGTGTTGAGCAAGTGGTGGATGGATCAGAGAGATGATTGTTCGTGGGAAGCCACGGTCCACACATGTTTATGACATCATCCTGATCAAGCACAAGAAACTTCCTTGGATGAGCTTGATTTGGAAACGTTACAACAACAACAACCCAGTTGAATCCCACAAGAGTAAGGTCTCGGGGATGGGGTGAGGTATATGTGAGTAGGTAGATCTTACCCCTACTCAAAAATATGGAGGTTGCTTCCAAGAGACCATGAGCTCAAGTAACACAAATAGCAAAGCTCATAGAAGACATATAAAGCAAAGAAAGCACAGAGTACAAAAAAAAAGCAAAGAACAAACTAATGTTGATGAAAGAAAAGCACGACAAGCTGGAAGCACCAAGCATAAAAAGCATATAGCAACACGTGCAAAAACTACCACCAGGCCCAAAATATCTACCCAACTGCCCTAATTGTAGCTCTCCTAACGTTCCTACTTGTTAAAGAGCATCCCACATCGAAACTTGAAGAAAAAATAAATCGGTATATAAGCTCTTGAGTTATACACTTGAACTAACTAATCGATTGGATTCAATTATTTAATATAGTTCAGTCCAAGTGTCTTATGGCCCAGTCCAGTGATCCCTACCTGATCCTAAATTCTATCATGGTATCAAAGATGGTTTTAGCCTACCTCATTGGTTAAGGTGTCTGTCTAGAAGTTTATTCCTAGCGGCCCATTTGTCTTTAGCACAAGTGTCCGTAAAGAAAACGGTCTGTGGCCCAAATAACCCGATTGTTCGTGGTCCTTTAGGTGCTGGCATTTTGATCCTTTGATTTCCTGTGGAAGAGGAGTCCATTAGCAAGTGATTAGCAAGTTAGATTCAAAATGGCTCAGCTGTCCACTTGAGGGGGAGTGTTAAAGTATCCCACATCGAAACATGAAGAAAAAATAAATCGGTATAAAAGCTCTTGAGTTGAACTAACTAATTGATTGGATTCAATCTTTTAATATGGTTCAACCCAAGTGTCTTATGGCCCACTCCAGTGATCCCTACCCCATCCTAAATTCTATCACTACTTAAGGTTTACCCCTTATCCTATTTGCGCCCACCACCATAAGTCTCTCACATCTCTGCACTAGGGCCTCAACACTCTGCCGCCTCACATGCCCAAACCACCTCAACCTACAATCCCATAACTTATCCTCCACCGGTGCCACTCCTACCTGTCCTCGGATAATCTTATTGTGAATCTTATCTATCTTCGTCTTACCACTCATCAACCGCAACATCTGCATCTCAGTAGCATGAAACTTTTGGGCCTTCTTAAGTACCTAGCACTCCGCACCATACAACATAGCTAGTCTGAAGAAGTATTCGATAGGACATAACTTTTATCCTAGCCGAAAAATTCTTATCACAAAGAACCCATGATGCCCACCTCCACTTTTGCAAGCCGGTTCAACTCGGTGCGCAACATCCCGTCCAACTCCCCATCCACCTGAAAAACCGAACCAAGATACCAAAACTTGTAAACCTTAGCACAGGGTGGGAATCAAACCTAACTTCCACCTCTGATTTTGTCACCCGGACACTAAAATAACATTCCAAATAATGTTGATTTCTTGGATGTAGATAAGAATTGTAGGTTGTTCCATGGTGACCTTGAGACCATGTCGCATATGGTCATTGTTTGCCTTGTCGCTTGAGCGGTGTGGAAAATGCTGCGTGAGTAGCTAGGCTTGAGAAGATAATTGAGCCGTTGTCTCTGGTAATTAGGGTGCTACGTAGGGCAATGGGAAGTGCGCATATCAAAAGTAAGGCTGCTACACTTGCCTTTGAGACCATTATTTTTGTTTTTAGGAAATAGGAAGGTTGAAAATAAAATGCATTTCGAGGGTGCTACATATTCAATTGATGAAATATTTATAAAGGATTAAGTCTTAGTTTACCAATTTTGTATAGGTTTTAGCCTTTGTCTATGATTAATTTTTTATGTAACCTACATGTTTTTGCTCTTTTTGGTTTTGTTGATGTTCAACTAGCCTTGGTGTTGTGAGGCATGGCATTTTGTTAGCTTGATTTGTTGGGGAATTCCCATCCTATACTTGTATATCTCTGTTTAGGTTCTCATTAATAAGTAATTAATGTTTACCCAAAAAACTATTATACTATAAGGATTGATCATTCAAGTGTGTGCATAACAAAAGAAAATTTTATCATCTGTTGTCAACCAAATAACGTTCTACCAAATTTACCTTCCTAAGACTTGAATAGCAGCCTACAAAATAATATAAGACGGGCTACTCTTAGAAAAGTCATTAGAACATTAGAAGAATCTCACCCCCACATGCCCATATTTTATTATATAAAGTGATGCTGAAAAATACTAATGTTTAGGACGCAATAATTACTTGCAGGCCTTCTATAGTTCTAGTAACCAATGCTAACAATATATTGATGATGAAGGTAATTTGTCCGCAGAAATTTTGGGCCAAATATGGCAGATGACGAAGTGAGAAAAGAAGTTGAGCACATGAATACTTACATGCTTGAAGACCCATACACTGAACTCCATTCCCAACTGCTTCAACCTTGAGGTGGTATTGTTCCCTATGGAGAAAGAATAGTAAAAGGCAATGATCCTCTTCAAAAAGGGGAGAAACAAAACAAAAAACATACAAAGTACAAACACAGAAGCGAACTAAAAAGATAGTACAAACATTCAATTATGACACGTGCAGAAATATAAACTGTTTGAGGAACCCCTTTACCGTTTTTTTATAATCTAGTGTTGCTCACTTGCTCCTTTTACACGGTAAGTTGTTGTAGCGATGCTCTATTTCAAAATTTAGGGACACTAAAGAGAGTAGGTGCAAAATATTGACAAAATGAAAGGAAGTAAATTGAAGCACATCAGATTTCCCAGAACACTAAAAAGGCTCACCTCCGCAAATGATCAAAAAACTTTCAGACGCTCACTAAACCCCTCATCCACAGAAGACCCATGTTCATTTGAAAAAGAAGACCGAGGAAAACTTCAATCATACATCACCAATGTTTTTATCTTCATTTCATTATATATACAAAACCATTCCTTTATTCCAACCTCAAAATCCAAATGATATTATGCAAATCTTATGCACTCTTACAAATCTCATGCACACAAATATATACAAAAAGTACATTATGTGCTCGTCTACGGTCTAATGCATTTTATCTTGCATGAAAATATGAAGAACGCATATGTTGAATGAGAATATGGTTTTACCATATATGCACCCAAATATGCACTGTAATGTTGATGGGAAACTATTTGCTGCAGAGATTGATCGGCAAAAAACAGACATCAGCCTCACTTTCAAAGATGTGTGTACAGGAGCAACTTTAGACTCAGGAGGAATTTGTTCAGAACCTGTGGTACCTATTTAGTGTTAACCAGCAATGAAGTTAGAGTGTTCACATAATAAAATCTTAAAAATTTCAAAAGTATTGTTCTCTGAAACTAAACCCATGTACTAAAGTAGCAACAATTTGGGGAAAACGTTTTTAATACAATTCAGGAAAGAAACCTCAGTGTCTGTCGGAAATGACCACTATATGGCCCAACTGACATTATACTCTCAAACAATGGCAAAGGTAATGAGTGTAGGTATTTTAAACAACTTTAAATTCACTCAGAGTTCCGAAACTTAATTCTTGTTCTGCTGACAGATAATATGTTTCTACACCAGATTACCATATTCGTTTGAAAGCATGGGATGGCTCTAACTTCTAGGTGCATACATCAATTCAATCGGACTTAAGCTTTTAGTTGCATAAATGTAGATCAATTGTATGATTTCTACACCATCAATACGGATCTTCCTCTTATTTGTACACGATATCAGAAACTACTTTGTATCCATCTGATTTAGTGTGGATGGTTTCCTTTTCTCAAACAAGTTGTATATCTCACAAATTGATTCTTTGTTCAGAGTATATTTAGCAGTTGCTTGGAAAACCAAAAACCACCATGAGTTTATCATGCCGAGAAGGTGAGGATCCACCACTTTCCTTGCAATTTGAATCTTCAAATGATGAACCTACTAGTCAACTACCCTCCTCAAAGGAATATGCTCCACTTATAGGTTTCATTACATGTATGCTTTTATGAGTTAGTATTATGTTTCTACACTTTATATGCCTCTTTCACATTTGTCTAATGTATCTATTCCTAAACCCATTTCTTAAACCCTTAATGGCTCATGATGACATAAGGCCATGGTGAATGAGAATGTGAGATTACAGCTTAAGACCTCTGGTCGGGCTTGGGATTTAGTCCCTCTTTCTCTAGGTAAAACTTGGAATTGGTTGCATGTGGATTTATATTGTCATAGTACGGCCAAATTGTTGCACCTTATAACTTATTACTTATTCTAACCCAACCAGACAAGATCATATTCGAAGAGAACAAGTTCTTAGAAAAAACATGCAAACTATTTTACATGCACATCTCCCAAAGATGCAATGCGAAGTGAGAAAGATGCACAAAGTGTGCTTGTGCATGTGCATTGCAAACAACAATTGTGCCTATGAAAGGCATAAACCATTAAGCCTCAATCAGCTCTTCCTTTAATAACCATGCTTGTGGAATTGTAGTTTTGATATATATGCATACATTAGTTTGTATTTGATATGTGCTATAAAAAATTAGCATTGTGTTTGTTTCTGTTTTCAAATAATATACAAATGTCCTTCAATAGGAGTAAAACATACTCCATTTACCTAAACATTATATTAATTTTAAGTAAGAGTTTTCCTATTTTTATACTCCCTCCGTCCCTGAAAACCTTTCTCCTTTCTTTTTTCATCCGTCTCAAAAAACTTTTCTCAATTCTAGTAAAAAGTCACTTTTACCCCGATTAATTCTTAACCAGCCTATCACATCATGTCGTGTCTCTTTTCTGCTTCATGTCGCTTCGATACCCTACGCAGCAAACTGCCTCTGTTCGCCAGATTCTTCAAAGTCGCGGCTCGTCATCGTGAGCATGGCCCTTTTCTCTCCCCACACAGAATTGAAAGTTTCATCCCTCTTTTTTGGTTTGCTTCACTCAATGTCCTTGCGAAACAAATTTGTGAGTTTATTCCAACTATTATTTTGTACTTATTTAATTTTTTTATGGTTTCTTTAATTCATATTAATGATTATCATTACTATTAATTGAATATATTGAATAATATTATTATGTTTTTCAATTTTAAAAATGATTAGTATGATTTGGTTCAATTTATTTTAGAAAAAAAATCTTTTTTGATTGTTTTTCTTATCTTATTCACTATGTGTATTATCATATTCTAATAGATATACTTTGGTACAATTGTTTTTCACCTGTGGCTGATAATTCCCCCAAAAGTAACCAAAAGTAACCAACAGGATTTGGCTTGGAAATACATTCGGTTAGAAGATCCTAAAATACAAAATGATATTACATGTTTTTTTATAATAACTGCTACACAGAAGGAAATAGTAGAGCAAAACAACATAAGTTGGTGGGCATTCTAATGTAAAGGGATGTGACAAAGTGTCTAATACCGTGAAAGAAGAGATTCAATCTTATATGCCTAATAAGAAGAGGCTTTGATGGACTATGAAGATGATGATGAGGAGGATGATGATGAAATTGGTGAATTGGCTAAGCTTAAAAGGCCAAAGCTGAAAAAGAAATGACCTATGGATATGCTGCACAGAGCTAAGACAATGAATTAGCACGACTTAAATGAATAAGCGCTTAAAGAGTTAAAAAACCGAGCAAGTTCCGCAATACCAAGATGGATGTGTGATGTTGCTATTCCTCTTAATGTGGTAAACTATGAAAGTTTCCAAGAAATGATTGATGCAATTGGAAACCATGCCCGAGGAATGAAAGCTCCATCCTATTATGAGGTTAGAGTTCCTCTACTCAAAAAAAATGTTGGCGGTGTGAATAAATTGATGGAAGACCATAAACAATAGTGCTACATAACAAAACATTTACATGAGTTAATTTATTTGATGCAAAAATTGTGAGTGTTTACGTTTTATTAAACTATCTACCTAATTACTCTATTGTATACATTAAGTTGAAAATTGTTCGTACATCTTAATACACCAAAAAAGAAATCATGTTAAACATAAAATTGGCTAGCAACATTGAGCTACCTTTGACCCAAACATCCCAAGTGCAAAGCATAATGGGTAGAGAATCTCATAGTTGTTTTGTATAGCAAAATTAACATCCAAACACTTATAGGTTGCATGACCTAGTGGCCCAAATCTACAACCCAAACCATGTACACCTCTACATTGTTCTACATGCAAAATGAAATTTCACTATTTCAAATCACCTTAAGACATGAACAAAACACAATTTCAAATTCCCTAAACCTAAGATTGAAAACGCAAGTTGGGCAAAGTTCTAGGAGTCCTAGACAAACAAATACAATCAACTCCTCAAAGTATGCTACCATGTCACAAAAATGATATCTAATTCTTCAAATGGGAATATAAGATATATTCAGCTTGCAATCAAATTGGAAGTCAAACCATATAAAAAAATGTAGTTTTCCAAGAGAATAAACTAGATCTTTCTTACCATTAAATAGAAAAAATAGTTTTTTTATCATGTCTAGATCCTCCACGTTCACAGTAGTGGCTTTCTTCTTCAAAAGGTCATCCCCTTTCTTTGCGATTAACTCTTGACTTGAAAAACATACACAAAGAGTTTTTATCTTTCAAAACATATACACATAAGATACCTAAAGCATCAATATTAGAGATTTCATAAGAATTAACTACCATCATTAGTCATAAAAACAAATACCTATCAGCGCAAGCAGCTATGTAAATGGGATAAACGAGTTCAACAGCAATTTCCATGGCTTCAATGATATTCAGGATCCCCATCTTTGAAAAGGAATAACCACCATAATCAGTATGTAAATGTATGAACGTAATTGTTGCATAGAAAAACACGAAAGACTTGTAACCACCAAACTTCAAGTAAGTGTAATGTTTCTATGCATGTATGTATGCATGCATGTAATTGTTGCAAAGAGAATCTAGATAGACTCATAACTACCAAACTTCATGATTTGCATGTTTGACTTCTCACCTTTCTAGAGCATAGTGTATCATTTGTCAATTGTTGTTTCCCAGTGACACGATCGCATTGAGTAGGTGATAATCCAGCTGGGCAAGCCCCACTATAAAGGACATCATATGACTACTATGCAAATCAACTAGTAAACATAAAAACAGCCAAAACAAAGAAAAGTAGTTATATAGACCTCAAGGTTGTTGGTTGGTACAAAACCATGTGCAGGCAAAATTCAAGAAATGTCTTATTGTCGTGCAAAAACCCACCAAGTTTTCTATATTTTGCAACTACTTCATCATCGAGATGCGTTGAATGGCAATCACCAATTACCTGAGATTAAATAGATTAAAGTTATTATATATAATAAAAATCCATATGAAATTTTCTACAAAACAGAAGAAAAAAAACTATAGTATTGTATCAATAATAAAACAAATTAATATGATGTATTTGAAGTAACATGTTATATGAATGAATAATTTAAAGTGTTTTTTTAAACCAATTGCAAATATATTAACAACAAGACAACTATACATCCAAATTTGGTCAGCACCTCTTCTAAAACCAACAGCCTACATGAATCTATCTGCCATACTTTGGTTTTAAAAAAGTAGAAATCTGATATTTAATATGTTCAACACTATCTGCTGCTTCTATTCAATTTCTTCCATTGACACTGCTATTCCTAGCTTTCCATGTAGCATACCAACAAGCAGCAGTAAGTGCTGCCTTCAGTCTCCTCTCCTTCCTGTCCATCAAAACTTTGTTTTCCATCTCCTTTATAGATTGAGCTTTGATATCTAATTCAGTCCAATCTGATATGTCTTTTAATATCTACGAAGCATAGTTAGAGGTACATAAAAGGTGATCCATGTTTTCTTCATTTGCCCCACATAAACTGATGAACTACATGTAGTATCTATTTGCAGAAACTTACTCAGCCTACATTTTGTTTGAATTCTACCCTTCCAGATCAGCCAAGCGATCACCTGATGTTTAGGGACGGACCACTTATTCCACACCACTGAGGCACTGATGTCCAGTTCTCAGTAGCTCTATCTCCCATCAACCAATCATAACCATCCCTAGTTTCATACTCTCCATTTATGGGCATAATGGTAAACTCATCTCTTACTTTCAGCATTTTTTCCCAATAATAGCATGTGTCCCCCTTTGGTTTGTACTGCCATATCCCTTCTTGTTTAAGATACCTTCCATGGACCCACTTAACTCATAGGATATCTTTTTTGTTAGCAATGTCCCATAACAGTTTCATGCAATTGGCTTTATTCCAAAAGACCAGGTTCTTCGGCCCCAGTCCACCTTTACTTTTGGGAAGGCAACCCTCCTCCCAGCCAACCAGTGGACATCTTTTATGGGAAACAGATGCACTCCATAGGAAATTTCTGCATATATCCTGGATTTTTTCATCACCTTATTAGGAATAACAAAGAGTCTAGCCCAAAAGAAAACCACACCATACAGAACTGAACTAATCAGCCTAGCTCTTCGTACATATGATAGATGTTTGGTAGCCCAAGAGGTAACTTTACTGGTAAGTTTTTCCCCCAAGGTATCACACTCTCTTTAATTGATGCTAGCTGCAATTATGGGACCTCCAAGGTATCTGAAGGGGAATACTCCCTTAAGGATATTAGTGCATTCCAACAAGCTTTTTTCTTTATCTTCCTTGACACCTCCAACAACAATCTGAGATTTGGGATGATTAATTTGTAGTCCAGTGGTCAGAGCGAAGTGCTCCAAAGCTTTGAAAATGCGGTCAATAGACCACTCATCTGCTTTGCTTACCACAATCAGGTATCAGCAAAAACAAGGTTAATGAGTCTAAAGGACTTGCACATTGGGTGGTAAGTGAACTTACTATTATCAGCATAGTGGTGCAATGCCCTAGTTAGATACTCCATGATAATTACAAATAGTAGTGGTGATATGGGATCTCCTTGCCTTAGCCCTTTTCCCCCCTTGAAGAAACCAAACACTTCTCCATTCGGCTGTATAGAGTAAGCCGTTTTGGTTACACAAAACTTGACCCAAGCCGTATTTGAAAGAAATCCAGGACTGCCTGGGTCACCATTTCTCCCACTGTTTCCCAATGACGTTTGAAGAAACCGTTACTAAAACCATCTAGGCCTGGGCTTTTGCAATTTGGAATTTTGAAAACATATTTCTTAACCAAATCTGGGTTAATGGGGGCAATCAAGGAGATTTGTTCTTCAACAGTAAGAACTTTCCCTTTAGTGATGATATATCCATGGATATTGTCAGTCCATTGGGTAGTCCCTAGCATATCTTGAAAATATTGCAAGATAGTCTTAGCCAAAACATCTTTCCCTTCCATGAGATACCCCTCTTTATTTCGAATGGTAGTGATGGTATTTTGAAGTTGCCTCTTCTTTACTCATGCATAAAACAACCTGGAGTTTTGATCTCCTTCCATAATCCACTCTTGCTTGGCTTGTTGGCATTTCATCAAATACCCTGCTCGTAAGCTCCAATTTAATTCATTAATCATCTCCCTTTCTCTAGCAATAAGGACCTCATTTTCATGGTTCCTTTTAATTGCCTCCTGGATACCGAATAGTTCATTCCTGAGAATATCACATGTTTTATGGATAATACTTATCTTATCCTTGTTCATCTTCTTAAGTCTGCCCTTGATTTCTTCTAGTTCTTGGAGTAGTATATACATAGCTCTACCCTAGCCCTCCTTACTCCATACTTCAGAAGTAATTTTAGAAAAGTTAGGGCTCATATGACAGGCCCTCCTCCCTTATTATCAGCTTAGAATTATAGTGTATAACCCATTCCACATTTGATATGGCCCTATCAATTTTAGAGAGAATCCTTTTACCTGGCCCCAGTGTGTTGGACCAAGTAAACTGAGCTCCTTCAGTGGGTAACTCCGCATACATTCCTTGAACTCTCTAATCTCATCCCAAGTAACTGGATTTCCCCCAATTCTATCTCCATAACTGAAAATACTATTAAAGTCTCCAAGCAGACACCAGGGGATTTGAATCTGACCTGCCATTTTACTAATAGCATTCCATAGATCCTTTCTTTTGTAAGAATCATTAAGACCATACACAAAGGTCAAAAAGAATTGTTTATTATCCCCCAATCTTCTACATTTGCAATTAACCATTTGATTAGAAATATCAGTGATCTGTACATTCAGCTTGCTTTGATTCCAAACCACCCATATCCTTCGCAGGTAGTGAGTATTATTATTGATAAATGATCCCCAATTCTTGAATATTCTACTTTCAATTTCCTTAAACTTACTCTCTTATTTTAGTTTCAAGCATTCCAAACATATCCACTATTTACTTTAGAACATACTCCATAACTTCACTCTGCTTGTTGGGACTATTCAGTATCCTCACATTCCAACAACGTATCATTGTAGAAATGGATAATGCCCTGCATAAGGGCCTTCACTTAATATCTTATTTAATCCTGTGTCGTCACATTCATCTCTTTCCTCTAACACCAATTTCCTGGCTGCCTTTTTTCCACTTACCTCAGTGAAACCATCTTCCCTAGGAACAGGGGTAATCTCTTTCCAATCTTTTTTTTGCTGTTTTGGCCATCCGATTCCACTTCCTTTGGTTTATCCTCTTTTTGTTCAATCACACCCTTCTTTGGGTTGTCCTCCTTTTGCTCCTTCCCATCATTCTTTGCTCTCCAAAACATTTTCCTTGGTCCAGCAGCCTTCTGTTTATTCTCTCCTTTTTGTCTACAATTTTCTTGAAGATGTCCCAGTTTCTTACGGTGGTAGCACATATAAGGACACAATTCATAAGTAACATTCTATGTAACAACTCTATCATCCTCAGTAACATAAGTGATCTGTTGTGGGAATTCCTGGTACACTCCCACTTTGATTTGGATTCTACTAGCATAAGCATGTTTTGAATTTTGATCTCTCAGCAGTGGCCTTATCTCTCCTTACTGGTTTCCCTATAAGACTTCCCAGCTTACTCAAACCTGTTACTGGTTTCCCTATAAGACTTCCCAGCTTACTCAAACCTGTTAAGCTCCAGTAATGCATTTCCAGGTCAGGAAATTTCACCCATATGGGAATATCTTTAAGGTCAGTTACATCAACTTTCTTTCCAGGTTTCCATTTCTGCACTAGGACAGGCTTATTATCAAAGAAATAGTATTTCCTCTTTGTAACCTCATCCCTATCTTCCTCTTTCTGGAAGATAACTATGAATTGTCCCTGTTTAAGCACCTAATATGCATAAAATCAATGTTGCATCACAATACCTGGAAGGTTCGAGCATGTCCTCCTTAGAAAATTTTACAACCCTAGCGCCATTAACTACTGTTGCTTGAACAAAGCTCGAATCCATTTGCAATGAATCCTGTTCGCCAACAATTCCCGAATATGTTTTTGTTTCAGCGCCCTTCTCCTCTCCTGGGCTCTCAATCTCCGAGTCAGCATTCAATGCTTTGGATTCATTTTGGAGCGGATCTGGAATCTCCGTTTCAGGAAGTTTGCTTCCAGATGTCGACCCTAACTCAGACTTGCCATCAATTGAGTGCTCTTTGACAGTGTGATTGCTTGTAGATTGAGATCGCAAGCTTGGATCTGGAATTCTCCTTGGTCTTCCCTTCCTCTTCGTCATTGCAGAAGTAGAGAGAGAATTCCCCTTCTTTCTTATTGTATACGAATTATATATTCACATATTATTTTGTGTGAATAAATTTTAATTTAAAGTGTTACTCTACATAGTATATCACAGAAAGAGGTAAAGACTAAAACGTTATCACAAAGAGAATAAAAAAGACGGGAAAAACAAATTGAAGTAAGAGAAAATAGATAGAACAAATAGAGGGAGATGGGTGAAGAGATAAGCACTCCCAATACAAGGATAGCAGAAAATCACCTTTGTAATGATTCTCAATAGTATTTCTTGATGTTGAGGGGTGACTTTTGAAATGCTGGCTAAAAGAGTAAGCGTCGTGTTTTCCTTTTCCTATTAAAATGCAGGACAAGTAAATACACATTATTTTATGTGGAATAATTCTCCCATAGTAATTTTTAGAATAGCTCTTTTATCTATTCTATTATTACATAAACTGTTGAATATCAATTCAGACCTCTTTTGGTGCACGTTCTACTGCCATCTCAAAATACACTATAGAGAAATTTCTGACCATTGAAAAGGCATTGGATTCTACATACAACTTCCATAACTCAGATAATGGCAACCCAATGTATGGTTGAAATTTCACTCTCTTGTTGACATGGCTTAATATCTCAATTACCTGGAGAAGATAATACAGAGTAAAATAAATGTATGCAATTGCATCCCTCACATGAGAAGAAGTAAAAATGAACGAACATCATTCAGTTTCAAATACAAGCCTAGAAAACGCACTTCTGCAGCAAAACCAGTCAGCCAACACACACAAATATTCGGATAGGATACAAAAAGAAACGGATTATCACCTTCTCACCTTCTCATTGCATATTAGAATTAAAATAATTATCCACACAAGAATATCAAAGCATGTGAATCATGTACATAAGCAACAAAATCTGGTAAATTATGTAATTTGCAAAATGATTATGCATTTATACCCAAACACTGACCACTACTTAACCGCATATGCAATATACCAATGACAAAATTATTTCGAACGAAATCAATCAGGTCTAGTGAACGTTATAACTAAAACTTAGTCTTCCTGAAAATGTTTGACATAGCATTAAGAGATGAGCCATTAGAATTTGAAAACGGTTATTCTCCGGAATTATTTTGAGGTACCAAAGTTCTTTTTAGAAAATTCCAATAGAAAGAAATAACTGTATCTCCAGTCTGGTTCATGTGAACTTTAGAGAGCCTTTTTCTCTCCCAATCCACCACAAGAACTATCACCTTAAAGCCAAAATTGCATTTAATTAAATTAAGACTCATTAACCATTATACCAAACCAGATTTAAATTTATTTCAACCACATCAAATTAGGTAACTTCAAATTCGCAAGATTTATGCTCATCTAATCAATCAAGCAACACCTAGAAAAAAAAGAAATGTAAACAGAGAACTGATGGAAAGCAAAGAGACAGATTTTACTTTGTTTCTGAGTGGAGTGGATGGAGAAGAGAGTGATGCGATGGAGAGAGGTAGAAGCTTGGAGAGCAAGTCTTGCAGCTTTGAGTCATTGCATAGCGCGAGCCTGGTGAGCATCCTGTCTAGCATTTCCTCTTTCTCTGCGTCAGATTTTCCGGATAACGCTGCTGACCATGAAGACATCGTCGCCGGCGCCGATAAAGAAAACGAACCCGGGTATGCCATTTAGGCTATTCTTTGTGTGGACTCTGGAGTAAACGTGTGAATGTACTGCAAGCTGCAACAGATCAGAGGGAATTGCGAGATCAAGTTTTTACGAATTGAGTTGGAAAAAAAGTGGTAGCAAGGGTATGTTTTATAGTCCCTAGGTCCCTCTGTATTTGTCCACATTTGACTTTTGGAACTGTTCATCTAAGCACTTTGACCCATCAAATTCTCTCAATGTGTAAACCTAAATATAGTCATGTGTGATCTTGTTTGATTTATCTTAACATATAAATTATTAATATATAATTTTTATAATTTTTTAATATACAAATTACAAGATAAAATAGATTAAAGAAGTGTATTGGATGGTGTGTAAAAATTAAAGTAGACAAATACAGGGGGACGGAGAGAGTACTAGATGTATACCAGCACGTCTAGTAATCCTTTAGGGTATAGGATATGTTTGGTTGGAGGTAGGTAAAAGTTTTATTAGGTAGGTAATGGTAGATAATTGAAGGTAGGTAATTGAAGGTAGGTAAAGTAAGGTAATGAGTTAAAAAATTGTGTTTGGATGTTTAATAGATAAAGTGAGATAGGAAAAGAATAAAATTACTAAAATACCCTTGTGCTTGGCTGATCGGATTTTAATGCTAGTGTGGCAAGCATCTACTCCGACTGCCACAATTGCCGTTACGACTACAAATCCACGGGCCAGAATCTCATCAACAAGGAAATTCTCATATTGCAAAAAAAAACAGCTTAAAAATTTGAGAAACAAAATAGTATATTTCAATAAATATTGAAATAACAAAAAAAGCAAAAAAAAAAACATTAAAAAAACATGATATTAAAATACACAACAAAAATAAAAAATTCAGCAAAAAAGAAAAAACAACACAGTAAAAACGAAAAAGAAAGCATAAACGAAAAATAATAAAAACAAAAGAACAAAAAACGAAAGGAGAGGAAAGAAGCCAGAAACCAGAAATGAAAACTGAAGGGAGAGGAAAGAAACCATAAAAAAACCAGAAAAAAGAAGATAAAAACTGAAGGGAGAAGAAGAATTTACCGAAGGAAGAGGAGATGGCAACTGAACAGATCTGAGATCGGATACGGCTAGCGAAGGGCAGCAGCGAAACTGAATCTCATGACCGAGGTGTTTCGCGAAATCGGCGGTAGCCTAAATTTCACTGTTACGCGGTGAAGCTACCGCCATTCAACTCCCCTTACCTATCTCTGTTTTTTCCCCAAACAAGGTAGATTTTAATTGCTACCTTATCCTACCTTCACCTCCCTCCATCCAAACACAGCGTTAATATCTCGTATAATTCTTTAATATAAAATTTGATTATTCAGACAAGTCAGAATACAAGCGTCCAATTCTTAGACCCTTTTACTAACGAAGACTTTCCGATCGTCTTCTTCTGTTCTCCGGAAATCCTCATCCATCAACCCACCCATCGCTGATTCTTCTCCAAAAATATCACAGATTTTATGTGTGATCTTTTCGCCGAAGGAAAGGAATTTTATAGCTCTATCAATGAAGGAAAGTCTCCAAAAAAATTACTGTGTGAGCTCTTCGCCCAAGGAAAGAAATTGATCTCTTCCAGATCCAAAATTTTCGAAGGAAAGTTTGGAGACTTTCCTCACTTCCCTAAACCAGGTCACCCCATGTCTTATTATCAATCTCCAATACTCTTTCTTGATTTTCTTTAATTTCTTGATTTTCTTTAATTTCTTGATTTTCTTTAGTTTCTTGATTTTCTTTAGTTTCTTGATTTTGGTTTTCCTTTCCTTAGGTTTTGTGTCAGTTATAGGGATGAATTGATGCAAATGCATGTTAAAATTTGTTGCAGGGTTAATGTTCCAAGACATCACAACTTTGTTGCTGAATCATAAGGCCTTCAAAGACATTGTTGCCTTTCCTTAGGTATGTTTCCAAAAATCATATGCACCAATGATTCAAGAATCGAGAGGAATTAGTTTTACATCGCTGCTAGCTCTTTAATCTCTGTTTTGGAGATCCCAATTAGTCTCGTTCCTATACCCAGATTTTTGGCTCGATTGTAATCCAAAAATTTTTATTAAATTCATATATTGATTCATTTGAAAGAATTCTTAGGGTTTTATTAGGCCAAAACCTGCCGCCAATTCTTCCTCTCATTTGGACTCAGGAGTCGTAGTCATCATTGCTAAAAGATGGTGAGGATTAGCGTGATGAATGATGCCCTGAAGAGTATTCGCAAAGGAAAGTCTCCATTGATCAGAATCTCATATCGCGATAGCTCAGAAGATATTACCGGCTTCAAAATTAGGTTTGTTTTCAAATTCCAAATTTAATCTTTATTAAATTTGTGTAGTATCGAACAAAATCCATTCAAAATATTGTTTCTTTCCAAAATACAAAATTTCTTGAAAACCTTAAAGTTCAATCCATTCACAGTATTTCAATCCGTTCAAAATTAGTTTTTTTTTTTCAAATTTCAAATTTAATTTTTATTCCTTGAAGAATTGGAAATCGTTTCAAATCCAAAACATTAGGTTTCAAATTACATTTTTCAAAGGAAAGGGCTATGTCATTTCACGATTCAAATATGTATAGGAATTTTTTTAGAGAAATTACCATCGCCATCATTAGTAATAATCTCTCTATAAATAAATATTCTTTGTGAACAACCCAACGCACCCCTTCTTACGCAAATATTTTTCCCTATTGATCCATACCTCATTTTTTCACTGACATGACTATTCATCTTTTATCAAAACTTAATCCAACGAGTGCTGGAGGATCATGGTTCGTGTGATAAAACTAAATAAGTATATAAGTATGAAAGTGTCATTTTACTTTTTCCAAACTTTGAATATTACTTAATAAGAGAATGTTATCCTAGGAATACATAAATATCCAATGCTTTAACCTATCACTTTTCCAAAACAGCAACTGGACCTTTTCCTTTTATATATTTAGCACAAGTGCTTGGTTAACCTGCAACTAAATTTGCATCTTGGTTAAATCAGCAACCCTATCACTTTTGTAAAATAACAACTGTACCTTTTTCTTTTATATATTTTGTTACTGCTTGGTTAATTGCTTTAAATATCCACAACAGCTGGACATTATATAATTATCCACTACTTTAAGAATCCATTGCTTTTCCAAAACAGCAACTGCTTGGTTAACTGCAAGGCTATATACAGCAAATATGCTTTAAAAAACATTAAATTGTTGTTGTTTTTTATTGATATTTTTCTTGCAAAAATATGAAGGGGAGTACTATCTATGCCACAATCCGGAAAAGTTTGGTTGGAACTTTTGAGAGTCAAATAAAGGAATGATCTATGTACATCTTTGCCTATTCTTTATATATGAATTTCAGATTTATTCAATGAGAGGCTACCATTTGGCAATTTTTAAAGTTGTTTTTTGACACGTATCTGTCCACGCAGAACTTCAAAGTTAAAGTGCATCTTCGGTTTCTCATTCACCAAAGAAGTCAACAAATAAAAAATTCAAAATAATTACGCACGCTCTTCTTCCAAAAGGGAAGTGTTGAAGATACCTAAATTGAGATGAAAGATCCATGTCTATTTTGCAGATCAATCTTTGTCACATGACTTCTTCATTGACTCAATCACCGAAGGAAACTCTCCAAAATTAGAAATTCATTATTCCGATTGGAATTATTCTTCGGTGGAAGAATCCTAGTAAATTTGGTTAGTTTCTTAAATTCATATCTAAATATTATTCAATTCATATTCTTCTTGCTTTGTTTCATACATATTTGATTCAATTCCTAAACTTGAGGCAAATTAGCCTTCGATAAACGCATCGCTTGTTGGAAATTTTAAGTAAATTGGACTTTTTCGGACATAAATTCGGTAGGGTCCACAAAATTATTTTCCGAAATAATTATGGACGTTTAATCTCGTAAGTAAGACGGATGTCTCAACATATGACACACCATAAACGGTGCTAGGGTGAATGAGAAATTAATTCTCAAAGTTGAATACTAAGGTAGAGTAAATACCTTTGTCCCACACCGGTTTTTAAACCTTTCGTATCCTCATATTTAAGCTTAGGCATTGAATTGAGCTTATGAAAGGAACAAAAAGGGGACTCCTCGCGCGCCGCCGCCGCCGTCCGTCCGGCACGACACGTCACGTCACGTCACGAAATGCGCGCGCGTGTCGTGTCGTGTCGGGTCGGGTTGGGTCGTGGCGGGTCGTGGCGCGTCGCGCCAGCCAAAATTCCCTCCTATAAAAGGAGGGCTTGGCTGCATGAGAAGACTTACTCGAAAAGCTCTCTCTCTCTCTCTCTGCGTTATACAAACTTTCCGACCCTCTCCCATTTCTGATCATCTTCTCCGGCTATAACTTCCATCGTTCTCGTTCGTCGGTGCACGGTTCTACCGCCCTAGGCCTTGCACGAAGCGATTTTATCCTAGGAGGAGATTGCCCACGTTTGCCAGTGCGGGAGGCGGGCAATATTACCTTAAGGAAAGCTCCGGCGACTCCGCTTTCCTTACCCTTCTTCCAAAAACTGTTCCGGCGACGTTCCTACCGGCGTAGCTGTTCGTCTTCCTGCTCCGTCCGTTCGTGTTCCGCTTCCGAAGACTTCACTTTTCCTTGTTTTATTTTTTACGTTGTAAAATCCGAACGTTCTATAAGTTCCGATTAATTTTATTTATTTTTCTCGCTGTAATATAAACAATCTTAAGGTAATATTGTCGATGGAGTTCGGATTCAGCATCGTGGGTTCCTCTGGCAACGGGATGAGTTCAGAAATCCCGGTGGAAACCTCTTTGGTTGCCATGGTTATGCCGTCCTCACCACTGCCCTTCGGGTCAAGTGTGGGGGCCGCAACCATGACGTCCTTCTCGATGCCGAGCTCGATCTTCGGGTCGGCCCCTCGACCCATTCCCGGGCTCGAAACCACGGGGGACCACCCCGTTGGTAATTCGAACCCATTTCTTGGACTGACTGTGGCTTCGGCCTCGACGGTCAACATTGGACCGAACGCGGGTTTCCCCGCACCGGTCAATCCATTCGTTGGACCTCATTGGGTGACCAACGGGCCTTTCCTCCACACGCCCAACGCAGTTGGGGCAATTTCGGTGTCCGCTAGTTCGGTCCAAAGGCCACCGAAGTTCAATGGCACGAACTTCAAAATGTGGCAACAAAAGATGACGTTCTTCTTGACCGTCCTAGGATTTGCTGAGTACCTGCAGCAAGATCCTCCCCAGCTCAACGAAGCCAACGACCCCCTCGTGGCGATGGTGAACCAAGCATGGTACCACAACAACTATCTCGCCATCAACATTATTCTTGAGGGGTTGGGAGATACGTTGTACCCCGTCTACGCCGGTGCAAAGCTTGCCAAGGAGCTTTGGAACAGCTTGAACAAAAGTATCAAGCTGAAGATGCCGGCACGAAGAAGTTCATCGTCGGGAAGATGCTGGACTACAAGATGGTCGACAGCAAATCTGTTGTCGCCCAGGCTGAGGAGCTTACGGTAATCTTCAACAAATGCAATGAAGAAAAAGTAGACGTCAGCGAGGCCTTCCAAGTGGCAGCCATCATCCACAAACTTCCCCGATCGTGGGAAGACTTCCAAGCCGACCTCAAGCTCAAAAGAACGGAGCTAAACCTGGAGTAGCTGCTCACACGACTGAGAATTAGAGAGGAGGGGCTTGCTAGAAGAAGTGGAGGGGCAAAGGCGAATGTGGTAGAACATCCGTCGGGCTCTTCACATGGCGGGAAGGACAAAAAGAAAATAGGTCCTAAAAGTGGGGTTTCTAAGTTTGCAGGAAAGTGCTACAATTGTGGCATTACCGGGCATCGTTCCTCCGATTGTAGGAAAAAGAAGCCACAGAAGAACAAGAAGAAAACCACCGAAGCTATGTGCGCAGAGCTCGACAACCTGGACCTCTGTGCAGTCGTCACCGAGGTGAATCTCGTCGGGGCAAACCCGAGGGAATGGTTTGTGGACACAGGGGCCACACGTCATATTTGCTCCAACCGGAGCATGTTTCACGAATTTCAAGAGACCTCCGGTGACAAATTCTGGATGGGCAACTCGGCCCAATCAGAGGTTCAAGGGGTTGGAAAGATTAAGCTAAAAATGACTTCCGGCAAGGAGCTAACGCTTAACGACGTGCTCTATGTGCCAGACATTCGTAAGAATTTAGTGTCGGGGTCATTGTTGATCAAACACGGCTTTCGGATGGTGTTTCAATCAGATAAGCTAATCTTATCCAAAAAAGGGATTTTTATTGGGAAGGGTTACATTTCTGATGGGCTTGTCAAGCTTAATGTAATGATTGTTCATGAAAAGATCAATAAAAATCCTGTTGCTTATGTGTGTGAGTCTTCTAGTTTATGGCATGGTAGACTAGGACATGTTAATTATGCATCTATTCGGAAATTAATTAACATGGAACACATTCCTAAATTTAGTATTGACTTAACTCACAAGTGTGAAACTTGTGTTGAGGCAAAGTCAACTCGAAGTTCGTTTCAAACAATCGAACGAAATACTCAACCTCTAGAGTTGGTTCACACCGACTTGTGTGATTTTCGAACAACACCTTCAAGAGGGGGTAATAAGTACTTTATTACCTTCGTCGATGATAGCACGAAATATTGCTACATCTATTAACTGAAAAGTAAGGATGAAGCGTTGGACACTTTTATTCGATATAAGAATGAAGTGGAAAATCAACTCAATCGCAAGATAAAAGCGTTGAGAAGTGATAGAGGTGGTGAGTATGATGCTCCACTTAATGAGTTTTGTGCACAACATGGAATAGTGCATCAAGTAACCCCACCGTATACACCGCAGTCTAACGGAGTAGCGGAGCGGAAAAACCGCACTCTAAAAGACATGATGAATGCGATGCTACTTAGTTCCAGATTACCCCAGAACATGTGGGGGGGAGGCTGTTTTATCAAGTAATTATTTATTAAATAAAATACCTCGTAAGAAACTTGACAAAACTTCGTATGAACTTTGGCATAATAGGAAACCTTCCTATAAGTATCTCAAAGTGTGGGGGTGTCTCGCGAAAGTACTTGCACCACCACCGAAGAAGATGAAGATCGGTCCAAAAACAATTGATGGAATCTTCATCGGGTACAATAGTACGTCGTACCGGTTCTTGGTGTACAAATCAGATAACCCTGAAATTCACAAGAACACGATCATAGAGTCACGGAATGCAACGTTTTTTGAGCACATTTTTCCGTGCAAGTTAAGTGGCGAAGCTAGTTCGTCCAAACGTTCTCATACTGAGATGATAGATAACGATGATCTAAATCAGTTGAATTCCGGTGACGATGATGAAGTCGAACATGAAACTGAATTGAGACGAAGTAAAAGAATACGAACTGAAAAGACGTTCGGTTCTGACTTCATAACATATCTGATAGAATTTGACAAAGGAACTTTGTCATTTCTAATGGAAAATGAACCCGATATTCTAACCTGTCTGGTAGAAAAGGAACCACGAACCTATCACGAGGCCGTAACCTCTACCGAGGGACCTCAGTGGCGAGAAGCAATAAAAAGTGAAGTTGATTCTATTCTTCAGAATCACACGTGGGAATTGGTTGATCTCCCACCAGGGTGTAAGCCATTAGGTTCCAAATGGGTTTTTCGGAGGAAAATGAAGCCTGACGGCTCCATTGACAAGTACAAAGCTAGACTTGTGATCAAGGGGTATAGCCAATGCGAGGGCTATGACTACTTTGATACTTACGCGCCTATGACTAGGATAGATTCTATCAGAATTAAAGCTGGCAAATCGGTCGGTCGGGTTCGGGTTCGGGTTCGGTCACTTCAAGTTCGAGTTATTTCGGGTTCGGGTTAATTCGGGTTCGGGTTGAGAACTGTATGTTCATGACCCAGTGTCATCGGGTTCGGGTCGACCCAACGGGTTATGACTTTGGTTTTTTAAATTTTTAAATTCACATTAACACTTACATTTTCTATTAAATAAATTTAAAATATAAAAAAAAGTACTAAATCTATAAAATTATATTATTTTAAACTCTAAAGTAGTTTTTAGATATATAAATCAATATAAGGAATTTAAAAATGTTTATGTTTTGGAAAATAGTAAGATAATTATGCAATATCATTAAAATTTTGTCTGAAAATATAAATTTATACACTAAAAACAAGTAAAAAAATGGTATAATTTTGAAAAATTCTTAGTTTAGCGGGTCGGTCAGGTCGAGTTCGGGTTCGGTCGGGTTTGACCCATTTTTAGCGGGTCATTTCGGGTTCGGTCAACTTCGGGTTCGGTCATCAAAACCTTTGTTCAAAACCCAGTGTTTTCAGGTCGGGTTTCGGGTCAAAAACAGGTCGGGTCACTTTTTGCCAGGTCTAATCAGAATGATCATCGCATTTGCATCCTTACGAAACTTGGATGTTTACCAAATGGATGTGAAGACAGCTTTTCTAAATGGCGAATTAGATGAAGAAATCTATATGGAACAACCCGAAGGGTTTAAGGTTCCGGGCCAAGAAAAGAAGGTCTTCAAACTTGTGAAATCATTATACGGTCTTAAACAAGCGCCAAAACAATGGCACGATAAGTTTGACGAGGTAATGATGAACAACGGTTTTAAGATAAATGAGTCGGATAAGTGCGTATACTTTAAGGACACATCTGAAGGGTATGTCATTTTATGTTTGTATGTAGACGACATACTCATCGTTGGAAGCAACGATAGGATGGTCAAGTCCACCAAGGACATGTTGAACGCACGATTCGATATGAAAGATTTGGGACTGGCTGATGTGATTCTTGGAATCAAAATACTAAGAAGACCGGATGGTCTAAGCTTGAGCCAATCCCACTATATTGACAAGATCCTTGAGAAATTCAACAAGGATGATACAAAGATAGCTAAGACGACGATAGACATAAATGTTCACCTTTGTAAACACCGAGGGAGTAGCGATTCTCAGACAGAATACGCTAGAGTTATCGGAAGTCTGATGTTTTTGATGAGCTGCACACGGCCAGACTTAGCTTGCGCCATTAGCAAACTAAGTAGGTATACTAGCAATCCGAGTGCTGAGCACTGGAAGGCCATAGTCCGAGTAATGAGATACCTTCGGTATACTCGAGATTATAGCCTATGCTATGGCAGGTATCCACCCGTGCTGGAAGGGTACACTGATGCCAATTGGTTTGCGGATAATAAGGATTCAAAATCCAGAAGCGGATTTATCGTTATGTTAGCTGGTGCAGCTGTTTCTTGGAAATCCTCAAAACAAACGTTAATTGCCAGATCGACCGTGGAATCTGAGTTCATAGCACTAGATAAGTGTGCAGAACATGCCGAGTGGCTTCGGAATTTACTTGAGGATATTCCAAACTGGGAAAAACCAGTTCCTCCTATTTGCATTTATTGTGACTGTCAGCAATAGGATGAGCTCGGAACAAATTGTATAATGGTAAGTCTAGGCATATTCGCCGTAGACACAAAACCATTAGGCAACTTCTCAATACGGGTATTATCTCGATTGACTATGTCAAGTCAAAGGATAATTTAGCGGATCCGTTAACCAAAGGGTTAACCAATGAGCAACATGAGAAGTTAGTAGTAGGAATTGGTCTCAAAGCCCTACCCTGTGCTGGGAACGTTCCATGAAGGAAAACCCAACCTAGTTGGTACCTGGGTTCAATGGGACAACCTACTTATGGAACGAAGCACGGTCACTGTGGGGGCAAGCCGGATCACCGGCTTAACACCCCTCTGTTCCTACTGAGATTTAGTGACTCCCGAAAACGATGAGGATAGCATGACGCTTTAATGATTCTTGAATTTTGGACAAAGAGGTCCAAGTGGAGTAATCGGGATACTCTCAGAAGAATCACCTATGTAAGAGTGAAGTGCAGTCACTTCAACAGAAGGATTTCGGGCTGATCCTGTCTGACACTCTCGCAGAACCAGATGCGTGTTCCACGACCATAATGGGCACACCCATGAGAACAGAATGATGGTTGGTTGAAACTTGTGTATTGTATATCGTCGTTTACATAAACGGCAGTATAGTTCAAAGACATCACGTTCTACTGAACAGCCAGTAGAGAAGGTATACTTTACAAGGAGTAGGTTCAAAGGCATAAAATCTACCTACTCTTGCAAGTTTCAACTTCAGAGTTATTGCCAGTTACATGAATTAATTTTCATTCATGTGGGGGATTGTTGGAAATTTTAAGTAAATTGGACTTTTTCGGACATAAATTCGGTAGGGTCCACAAAATTATTTTCCGAAATAATTATGGACGTTTTATCTCGTAAGTAAGACGGATGTCTCAACATATGACACACCATAAACCGTGCTAGGGTGAATGAGAAATTAATTCTCAAAGTTGAATACTAAGGTAGAGTAAATACCTTTGTCCCACACCGGTTTCTAAACCTTTCGTATTCTCATATTTAAGCTTAGGCATTGAATTGAGCTTATGAAAGGAACAAGAAGGGGACTCCTCGCGCGCCGCCGCCGTCCGTCAGGCTCGGCACGTCACGTCACGACAAGCGCGCGTGTTGCGTCGCGTCGGGTCGTGGCGTGGCGTGGTTTTCGAGTAAGTCTCAGTCGTGATTAACGAAGTGTCGTCAAAGAAGCATGCATGCACAAGGGAGGCGAAGAGCGACGCCTCGTAATCTCCGACGGTCCAGCGAAGAGCCAAAATTCTCTCCTATAAAAAGAGGGCTTGGCTGCAGGAGAAGACTTACTCGAAAAGCTCTCTCTCTCTCTCTCTGCGTTATACAAACTTTCCGACCCTCTCCCATTTCCGATCATCTTCTCCGGCTATAACTTCCGTCGTTCTCGTTCGTCGGTGCACGGTTCTACCGCCCTAGGCCTTGCACGAAGCGATTTTATCCTGGGAGGAGATTGCCCACGTTTGCCAGTGCGGGAGGCGGGCAATATTACCTTAAGGAAAGCTCCGGTGACTCCGCTTTCCTTACCCTTCTTCCAAAAACTGTTCCGGCGACGTTCCTACCGGCGTAGCTGTTTGTCTTCCTGCTCCGTCCGTTCGCGTTCCGCTTCCGAAGACTTCACTTTTCTTTGTTTTATTTTTTACGTTGTAAAATCTGAACGTTCTATAAGTTCGGATTAATTTTATTTATTTTTCCCGCTGTAATATAAACATCGCTCACAAACACATTGATTCTTAGCCTTTAATTTCACTTCAATTTTTTAAGCAAATCGATTAATTTGAAATTGCTACTTGATTTGGTTTGTCGATCCTTGAGCACAATGTTATTCAGCATCTTTCTTAAAGATCAATATCTGCAATATTACCAACATTATAGTTATGGCTCTAGCCTTAAAAAACATCATAAAATAAATACACTTCTTTTTTATATCAAATTATAGTCCTTTTAAATGATATGATACTGGCCACTTTTGTGTTGTTTGTTTACAAAATAAAACGAAACATACATATTATTTTGACATATATTCCGAACTATTTTATTTTTGATCAAATAGTTTTTTAACCAATCTTGGCCAGGGGAGTCATATCATGCAATCTTACTAATAATTGGAAATTGTTAATATTGAAAGAAATATTCAAATCATATTTTTTTTATTCTGACCAATTTTATATGTAACATGTATTTGAACAGATTTAAATTAGATTTTATTTATGTTTTTTTATTTGTCATTTTTTTAGATATTGCAAAATGTTATTTCATTACAAGTGAAGAGAATGGGAGAGCATTTCAAACATGTAGGAAAAATTTTATTTTTACACCTTGAATTTTACAGAAGGAAAATGTTATTGCCTGCATTGTGCATGTGATGTTCTAAATGTCACCCCAAAGTTGAGTTTTTCTTGTGTTGGCTTTCATATATTCACCTTTGTGTTACTTCGGCCAGAATGCTTAATAATTTTTTTTGTAGATATCTAATCAAAATCTCTGTTAAGGATGATCCCAATACAACGACATTCGTGTTATTTGACGAGGAGGCCTCCTCCATTTTAAATACGTCATGTTCGCTGTTGTTGGATAAAAGTGATGTGGTATATACTCTTCTTCCACCTTTGAAAGACCTTTTGCAATGTGAAATATTGTATCCTGGATGTTGATTCGTTTGCCCTCTTAGGAGGACAAACAAGTCCTGTCTTTAGTTTTAGTGGGTGGAGATCTTGGTGTTGGCAAGAGCACATCATTGTTATATGTATGGCACTTTGAGAAGCATGACTCGCAAATTTCATAGATAGAAAGCTTGACAGTGAGAACTTGAAGCACTTAATTGAAGCTAAGGCGAATATGGCTCTGACTTAGAAAAGAATGCTTAAATAGAGAAAGCGCCAACTTTCCGAATTTAAGGTATGCGATAACCATCAATTTGTATTCTTTTTGTCAAGAAACTGAGTGACAATTTTATGTTATCAATGGTGGCCTACGTTTTCATTTGAATATTCTTTTTGTCATCTCTTTCGAACAACATCTACTATATTGCCCTTTGGGAACTCAATATTATTTATTTTGAAGCAAAAGGATTTATTAGTATTCTGAATTAGTTGTGGAATACTGTTTGTGTCTTCTTGGAGTCTAGATTTTTTGCTTTACTATGTGTATAGAGGTGCCATAAAAGGAGAGCCATGTATTCTGCTAACAAGGTCTAGCTGGAAAAGTTTGATATTGTTTGGCTGTTTGCAACTTTTGTTTGAAGCTTCATTTTGTTTGTCTGTTTGCTTTTAACAGCTTAGGTTTGGCTAAATTCTGGCAAATCATGATGGTGAAGATCAAATTCCATTGGTAGATGAAAGAACTATTGTGGTTTGTGAGTTCATTGCTGCTCATTGATAATTAAAAAAAGAATTGATGTGCACTAAATTAACTAAAGTTATTACCTTTTATATTGCTCTTTTTTTGTCAAGATTAGCAGCAATTAGGAATTACATCAATTCTTCTTAAAAGTTGTATTTTTGTTGTTGGATTGCTGAATTTAGATGCAACAATCTGTCCACAAATCTTGATCTATATTTTTTTTGTTGGTGATGAACTTCGAAGATGTACATGGAGCTACTTTTTCCTGCATCTTCAATCTGTAAGCTGTACTCTTAAGGCTGTTTTTGGTTTATTTGGCTATTGATTGGCATGTTTGACTTTAGTCTAGATTTTAAATTTTAATATTTGGTGTTGTCATCATAGAAAGTTTAAGTTTTCGTTTTAGTTTTGAGTTTTTTTCCTTTTCTTTTTTCAAGGGGCTTAGACTGGATTTTTCCCTCTTGCTTTTTTTCATTTTGATGACCTTTGGTTGGCTCTTCCCCTCTTCTCCCATTTCTTTTTTAATAACTTAAAAAGAAAAATTAAATAAATCCAGAAACTAATTGTCTAAATCAATGTTATGAATGTCACACCCCACCCAAAAAATTTATTTCCTTTATTAAACTCTTATGCATCATAGTGAGTAATTGAGTATGTATTTACCATTAGCTTTGGATTTAACACTAGCAGATTATCATTTTTATAGGTTGAATGTAAACATTATAGGTGTAATGCAAAGTTTTTCCGTTGTGCAATTTTTGACCGTTTACACCTTCTTTCGTTTTTAGAGGTTCAATCCAAAGTTAATTGATCTATTATTTATTCTACTCTGATGTTAATTACTCTATTATTTATTCAACTTTGATGCCAATGTCCATAATATTAAAAAAACATGTTAGAAATATATTTTCTTAAATCCATAAAATATTATATTAAAAAATATTTTTCAAATCGACAAAAATTTCATTCGAACCCGTACATAGCACGGGTCAAAGTACTAGTTTAGATAAATGTAATACTCATAGTGACGTATATTAAAGTAAGTACTTGATTCGTATGTAAATATTTCAAGGATAACAAAATAAACATAAAAAATGATGTATATTAAAGTAAGTACTTGATTCGTGTGTAAATATTTCAAGGATAACATAATAAACGTAAAATATATTGTTATAAAAGTACAAAATTGAAGAGATTAAAGGTTTTGAAAAACTTCTTTGGTTTTTCCTATTACGAATTTACTAAGTAGACTCGAACGGCTCATAATATAAGCATCCAAGTGGTTCGACTATTATCAATTACAGCAAACGCATTCCACATACTCTTTGAATGTTTTGAGACAAGTTTTAAAACTGAACCGAATTGGAATGAGAGGTATGAAATATTTGAAATATAAGTATTATATATAATTGGACAATCAATGTCTTGATTTAGTTAATCCATTTATTTAATATGATTTGACATAAATAATGCGTGGAGCCACGCACGAACTTTACTACGCACGCGGTTCCATAGCAATACACTACTCATTTATTTATTTTGATTTGACATAAAGTTTGCATCAAGCCACGCACCAACATTACTACGCAGGCGATTCCATATCAATACGCTACCCATTTATTTATATTGATTGATATAAAGTTTGTATCGAGTCACGCACCCACTTACTGCGCACGCGTTTCCATAGCAATACACTACCCATTTATTTATTTTGATTTAACATAAAATTTGTATCGATTTACAAATCAACTTTACTACGCACGGGGTTCTATAGCAATACACTACCCATTTATTTATTTTGATTTGACATAAAGTTTGCATAGAGCGACGCAGCAACATTACTACGTTCACGGTTCTATAGCAATACACTACCCACTTTTTATCTTGATTTGACATAAAGTTTGCATTGAGTCACGCACCAACATTACTATGCACGCGGTTCCATATCAATACACTACCTGTTTATTTATTTTGATTTGACATAAAGTTTACATCGAGTCACGAACCAACTTTACTACGCACGCGGTTCTATAGCAATACACTACCTATTTATTTATTTTGATTTGATATAAAGTTTGCATCGAGCCACGCATCAACTTTACTAAGCACGCGCTTCCATAACAATACACTACTCATTTATTTATCTTAATTTGACATTAAGTATACATCGAGCCACGCACCAACATTACTACGCACGTGGTTGCATATCAATACACTATCCATTTATTTTTTTTTGATTTCACATAAAGTTTGCATCGAGCCACGCACCAACATTATTACGCACGCGGATCCATATCAATAAACTACTCATTTATTTATTTTGATTTGATATAAAGTTTGCATCGAGTCACGAACCAACTTTACTACGCACGTGGTTCCATAGCAATACATTACCCATTAATTTTTTTTGATTTGACATAAAATTTGCATCGAGTTATGAACCAACTTTACTACGCACGCGGTTTTATAGCAGTACACTACTCATTTATTTATTTTGTTTGACATAAAGTTTGCATCGAGCCACGCAGCAACATTACTACGCACACGGGTCTATAGCAATAGATTACCCATTTTTATCTTGATTTGACATAAAGTTTGCATCGAGTCACGCACTAACATTACTATGCACGCTGTTCCATATTAATACACTACCTGTTTATTTATTTTGATTTGACATAAAGTTTGCATCGATTCACGCACGAACTTTACTACGCACGTGGTTCCATTGCAATACACTACCCATTTATTTATTTTGATTTGACATAAAGTTTGCATTGAGCTACACACCAACATAACTACACACGCGATTCCATATCAATAGACTACCCATTTATTTATTTTGACCTAACATAAAGTTTGCATCGAGTCACACACCAACTTTACTACGCACACGGTTCAATATTAATACACTACTCATTTATTTATTTTGATTTAACATAAAGTTTGCATCGAACCACACACCAATATTACTACCCATTTATGTATAAACTTATGAAATGAATTGATGTACGAAAGTAATAACCTATTCTCAATTTCTTCATGGTTACTATGTGATGTATAAAATATGCACAAAATCTTAATGAAAAACTAATGACATCGAATAAACATACTTGATCGTCGTGGAAAATAACCTCCGTTGATTCTCCAATCCTTCCAAAAGCATCGAAGCACATCGAAGCAAACACATCCAACACTTACATTCACATAATGAGTTAACATAACAGTGGCCTTTCTTCTCATCCGATTACAATGCAACCAAAATCTTCTACAAATCCCAATTTACAACTAATAACAAAAACACAAAACATCGAATGATTGAAGTTAAGTTTTTAATTAAAAATATCAAACCAGGGATAATTGAGCTAGAGATGACACCACAACCCTCACTTAAAACCCACGATTTGAAGCAAAACAACCACCCCACACCCTTTCCACTTTGTTCCCCTCAAAATGGCTGAATGCACCCCCCTAAAACACCCATATAATAACTTTCCATGTCCAGCCAAATAACCCCACACCATACCCCTCTTTTATGGCTGGTACAATAACTAAAAACCTGTAACACCCCGGCCCCCACCCTGGCCGTAATTGTCCGCTCATAGGATTGTAGACTGGCCCCACAAATCAACACAAGTCTTTCCCGCGCACTTTGTAATAAGAAGCCAAAACAACCCAATCAATTCCTCCAACATGTACCAGTTGTGGTCCCCTTTGTGTTTCCTAACTAGCCCAAATAAACAATCACTAAAAACCAGGGATAATTGAGCTAGAGATGACACCACAACCCTCACTTAAAACCCACGATTTGAAGCAAAACAACCACCCCACACCCTTTCCCCTTTGTTCCCCTCAAAATGGCTGAATGCACCCCCCTAAAACACCCATATAATAACTTTCCATGTCCAGCCAAATAACCCCACACCATACCCCTCTTTTATGGCTGGTACAATAACTAAAAACATGTAACACCCCGGCCCCCACCCTGGCCATAATTGTCCGCTCATAGGATTGTATACTGGCCCCACAAATCAACACAAGTCTTTCCCGCGCACTTTGTCCTCAGTCGTGCGCGCCCAAAGAATTTCCCAGGGGGTCACCCATCCTAAAATTGCTCCATGTCAAACTCGCTTAACTTTGAAATTTTTAGGTGATGAGCTCTTGAAAATAAGATGCACCTTGTTGGTATGAGTAGTACTATCAATCCTTTTGAGCCTTTTTCTTTCCCAACTTAATATGGGGTATTACATTCACCCCCACTTAGGAATGCAACGTCCTCGTTGCATCCTTTTTTTAAACCCCTAGATCTTTCCCGCTATGTGAACTAAGCTCGATGGCCCGTCACGGTCGCAGGGTTGCTCTGATACCATTTGTAACACCCCGGCCCCCACCCTGGCTGTAAGTGTCCGCTCATAGGATTGTAGACTGGCCCCACAAACCAACACAAGTCTTTCCCGCGCACTTTGTCCTCACCTTGTTGGTATGAGTAGTACTTTTATATACGGCCCTAGGCCTTGGTATTGCAGCATTGTATCCTTTATTTTGTGATAGTAATACACTTGCTGTATTTTATTTTAAATCCTAATTTCTATATCTTAAGGTTGGTTCCCTTCAGTGTGAGTATTAGGTTCTAGACATTTGATTGAGTGTGTAATATCTTGATTGAATTCTAGATTCAAACCCCAAGTGAGGATAAGAGTGAGTTATATCTCTTAAAACCAACTTGGTCTATCTCCCTTCACCAAAACACCTCCTTTTCATTCCCTGAAACTGCCCTATAATCGATTATCACCTTGGCTAAATCGATTATCATCTCACGAAAAACATCTGCACTCATCCATAATCGATTTACACCACCTTGTAAATCGACTAATACCCCTTTCTGAAAATTTCTGCCAAAATCTCTCAAGAAACCGAACCCTCCAATAATCGATTATCCCTTCTGGATAATCGACTATAATTCCTCCTGCAAATTAAAAACCACTTCGTTCCTCAAACTTCAAGCCTATTATCAAAACACCCGAAGCCTATATACATCATTTGGTATCTGAGCTTGTTGTTGAACATCTCTAAGGACCTATAACACACTTCCCTTCCTCTCCTTTCTTTCGGCCAAAACCACCACTCCTCCTACCCTCATCTATCATCACCATGTCAAACCAATCCCAAACCCTCACCGATGAAGAACCTCAAGCTTCCAATGCTGCCCTAAAGGCTCAAGTTGAGTACTTAGCCAAACAAGTGGCTCAACTTACCAAGATGAAGTTGAAGATGATGGACACCCCCGAGGAAAGTGATGAAGAACAAGAGGTCGATGCACATCCCATGGGCGATTCAAACAACACCGGAGGCAGTTCCAATGAGAAAGGAGCCTCAGGCTTCATGTTAGAATACGTGCCCTTCACTAGAGGGGGGGTGAATAGTGAGGCACGAGAATGTTTATAAATTTTTGCGGAATAAAAATCGTAGGGATAAAGTAAAGAGCGGAATAAAAAAGCGTAAGGAAAGAACACATTGATTTTACCCTGGTTCACCACAACGTGTGGCTAGTCCAGCCTCTCGAGAGACTCTCTCGAGCTATACTACTTCCGTTAAGCTTACGGGTGCTTAACAAACCGTTAAAACCTGAGAACTCGAGTCCCACGAGCCTCAATTCACTTGCTCGGAGATACCGCACTCCACGACTTCAACCCGAAGGAATATGCCCTTCCTTCGTACAACCAAGGGAACAAACCTCCCTTAAAGTGTTCACAACACTTAACCACTCAAGAACAAAAACTCTCTTAAAGAGTAGAATATGAGTTAACTAATTTAGATCAAGAACACACTCAATTCCTCAAGAAATGGCTCTAAAAAGCTATGTAAAAAGTTTATGGAATGATGCAATGTAAAGCTATGAAATGTGTGAGGAATGGTTGTGAAAAGTAGACCCAAAAGACCCCTATTTATACCCAAAAATGATGTGTAACGGATGAGAGTTGATTGGGGTTTAATGGCATGATTTGTGGAAATCAAATCAAAGTTGGTCTACAGAATTTTAGCCTAACATCGATGTTCATATAGTGAACATCGCTGTTTTGGCTTTGACTTTCCTTCAAAAATGGCTAACGGTCATCAAAACATCGATGTCTAGAAGTCTACATCGATGTTGGGGTGATTGACTTTCAAAAATGGAAAGATTTTGTCTTAAATAGCCCAATGGTCATTTGAAAACATCGCTGTTCAACAATGAACATCGCTGTTCAAAAACCTACTGCCCTAGACTGACGTGAGCCAACCTGGCCAAAACATAGATGTTCAAATCCCAACATCGCGGTTTAGACATCGATGTCTAAATCCAAACATCGTTGTTCAGACATCTATGTTCAAAATCCAACATCTATGTTGGGCCTGGTCGCCAGAACCATGGTTTGGCAGCCAACGCCGAAAACCGATCTCAAAAACCAAAGTTCTCAAAATGAAAACAAAGTGTTGGAAACTCTTATATAATGTATTTTATGTTGAAACCAAGTATAAAAACTTAAAAACCACTTCATTAAGGTAAAAACCACGGCTAGCCATGTTTATGTTGTTTCACATGGTTTTCACCAAAAGACCAAAAACGAGAGGTGGTTTTTAACATATTTTTGGTGGAGAACTATTTGGATATGCCCATAAATAAAAACCAATCATAAAATATTAAAAAAAACTTGATTGATTTGGGTGCCAAAAACCAACGCCGATAACCAGCGCCGAATGCCGATAACCAACGCCGAAAAAACAAAGGTTATGGTTTTTGAAAACTAATGATTTGGAAAACCTTTAAATGTTTCCAGAAGCAAAAACCAAAGATAAAAACCCAAAAACCATTTGGCTAAAATCAATGCCAATAACCCATGACGAAAACCGAGCGCCATAGCCGAACGCCAATAATCGATGGTTATGGTTTTGGTTGGGCAAGAACCAGGGGTTTTAGAAACTTAAAACCATTTATGAAAACACTTATTTGATGCATGAAAAACATATGTTCTTTTGAGCCATGAATTAGAGAAATTGAATGAGCTTGTTACAATAAAAACCTAAGTATTTAGACAACGTGTTCAAAACGCCAATGTCGCCGTCTTTAGAAACTTCAATGCCTTTCTGTGCGCTTTTTGTTCCTTCAAAGAGCTTTTGCTATGACTTTGAATATATTCATTTTTCCCCAAGTTCTCGACGGTTTGTCAATATCAAAACCTAAACAGAAACAAGCATTCCCATTAACCAAACATCAATGTGAAAATGCTTTCTAACAATTTCCCTCTTTTTGATAACGACAAACCAAAGTGGGGATATGCAGGCCAAGTTGGGTTTTCAAAGAGAGAGTAATGGTAATTCCCCCAACGTCTTTGAAAACAAGATTCCCCCTCACTTGTTGCATATATCCAAACACTTCCCCCTTTTGGCATTAGCAAAAAGCACTAAATAAAGTTTAAAAAAAAAGTACTCCCTGAGCATTGATGTTTAATACAAAACATCATTGTTGTATGTTCTCTCTGAAACTGATACCATGTGTATAGCAAAAACAATTCCACCCAAACTCCCCTAGATGCAAAACATTAGGTTTCATGCTTGGAGCATCCACAACAAAAATGTAGGCTTCAAACACACCTACATATGCATCTAAAAATAATTTTTAGGTACCCAAAAACGTTTGGGTCCTTGAGGGTTAGGCAAATAATAATCATAGCTATAAAACAAATCCCTGTGTTTTGTAAAACAAACGGGTGCTATGTATCCTATCTTAGAGCAATAATGGCAAACTACATTTGGATTATGCATATTCCTAGGTTGAGCCAAAAAATTTCTAGGTGATCTAAAGTCATTATTTCTAGAATTGTAAATCAAGTTCCTAGACTCATTTCTAGGTTGTCTCAAATTATTCCTATTATTTATAAAAATCTTAGAGTCATTTTTAGGTTGTCTCAACTTATTATTTTTATTCTTTCTAAAATTAATTTTGTTATTCCTAGGATTATTTGTTCTTCTAGGTGGTTTATCATTCTTAAATTCTTCACCAAGTTTCTTAGGCTCTTCTACCTTAAGTTTTTCTATGGTGCTCTTAAGTTCTACATTCTCTATTTTTAAAGACTCATAAGAGGAACAAGTAGAACTTTGGCCAAAGGAAGAAGCTTCATTCATTGCTTTAATCTTATTTTTAAGGTCAAAATTATCATTTTCCAAAAATTTATTTTCCTCTTCCAAAGCATGAATTTTAGACTTTATTTAGTGCTTTTTGCTAATGGAGTACTTTTCCCCCTTATTTTTGTATTAAACATCAATGCTCAGGGAGTACTTTTTTTTAAACTTTATTTAGTGCTTTTTGCTAATGCCAAAAGGGGGAAGTGTTTGGGTATATGCAACAAGTGAGGGGGAATTTTGTTTTCAAAGACGGTTGGGGAATTACCATTACTCTCTCTTTGAAAACCCAACTTGGCCGGCATATTCCCACCTTGGTTTGTCATTATCAAAAAGGGGGAAATTGTTAGAAAGCATTTTCACATTGATGTTTGGTTAATGGGAATGCTTGTTTCCGTTTAGGTTTTGATATTGACAAGCCGTCAAGAACTTGGGGCAAAATGAATATATTCAAAGTCATAGAAAAAGCTCTTTGAAGGCACAAAAAGCAAGAGAAAGGCATTGACGTTTTTAAAGACGGCGACATTGGCATTTTGAAGACGTTGTCTAAATACTTAGGTTTTTATTGTATCAAGAACACACTCAATTCCTCAAGAAATGGCTCTAAAAAGCTATGTAAAAAGTTATGGAATGATGCAATGTAAAGCTATGAAATGTGTGAGGAATGGTTGTGAAAAGTAGATCCAAAAGACCCCTATTTATACTCAAAAATGATGTGTAACGGATGGGAGTTGATTGTGTTGGAACACGGGTTTACGCCTATGTCGTACTAAACCGTGTTCGTTTTATGACAGGTTTTGATAATGCCAAACCGCCGTGACAACAACACGAAACTGAGCAAATCAAAGGCGAAGGAACATGGCATGATGACTTGAGAACCGAGAATCAAGAACCAAGAACGAAGACTTAGAATTTATTGAGTCGGTCTTAATGTGATCAAGACCGGCACAAACTTCAAAACATGGCTCTCTAGGCTCGCTTCATTAAAATACTTCTTGCATACTCAAAGATGTTTTTCTTCATAAGTTTTAAACAAGCCTAAAACACTTGTTGTTCGCCCAAACCAAAAACCAAGCCATCCGACGTTCGGTTTTCAGAAACCGGCGTTCGACATTCGGTTATCGGCATTGGTTTTTGGCTTCCGAACCAACCATGTGGTTTTCAACATTTTATGATTGGATTTTACTTCTGGGCATATTTAAATAGTTCTCCAACAAAAACGCTTCAAAAACCACCTTTCGTTTTTGGTCGTTTAGTGAAAACCATGCGAAACGGCGTAAACTTGGCTAGCCGTGGTTTTTATCTAAATGACGTGGTTTATATTTTGGAGAACTTACATTTTTGACATCGGCTAACGGCATGACTAAACCAGCCATGGGTCTGGGTAAACCAGCCCAACAGCGATGTTGGAGTAACCAACAGCGCTGTCTGGCATGGGTAGCTGAAAACCATAGTTTGGCGTTAAGTCTTGCAACAACGATGTTGGTGTTTGGACATCGCTGTTGAGCCAAGCTTGGGTTTCTAGAAACATCTGGAATAACGATGTAGACTACCCTACATCGCTGTCCAACCTAAGCCAAAAAGAAATGCCTTTGGCAGAAAGATTTTGGACAGCGATGTTGACCCAGCAACAACGCTGTCAGGCCAACTCCTTCCCCTTCAAAGTCAGGCCTGAACAGTGATGTTCAAGTAATGAACATCGATGTAGGCACCTGACTGTTGGGAGGAATTTATGACTAAAACTTTCCTTGTTTGGAAGTCAACAGCTAAAACAGCAATGTAGGGGTATTGGACATCGCTGTTGGCATGACCATTGCTTCGTATTTTTCAAAAACCAAACCTAGAACAGCGATGTCCAAGCCTAGGACAGTGCTGTCTAGAGGATTTTCTGCATATCCATTTTTAATCAAATCCCACAAATCAAGCCAATCACCCCTTTAATGTATTGGTCCGTTGGAGCCTATTTTGGCACTATAAAAAGGGGTGTTTGGGTATGCTTTTCTTATCACATTACTTCACAACTCCTACTCTTCCATTGCATATCATTCATACATTATTCATAGCTTTTCGAGCGCCATTTTTGTGAAGTTCCTGTTGTGATCTTGAGCGTATTACTTTACTCAACATCTACTCTTAAAGAGAGTCCTGTTCTTGACTGTTTTAGTGTTTATAGACGTTAAGGGAAGTTTGTTCCCTTGGTTGTACAAAGGAAAGGTGTTTTTCGTTCGGGTTGAAGTCTTGGAGTGTGGTATCTCCGAGCAAGTGTTGTTGAGGCTTGTGGGACTCGAGTTCTCAAGTTGTAACGGTTTGTTAAGCACCCGTAAGCTTAACGGAAGTAGTGTAGCTCGAGAGAGTCTCTCGGGAGACTGGATTAGCCACACGTTGTGGTGAACTAGTATAAATCTTGGTGTGCTCCCTTTACTTTTTCTAAGCTCTTTACTTTTCACGTTCTTAATTTTTTATTCCTGCGATTTCTACAATCAAACGTTATTCACCCCCCCTCTAGCATTGGTCACTTATTCTAACAATTGGTATCGGAGCCTAACTCGCGTCCAAACTTAACCGTTTGAGAGTAAAGCGATCATGGGTTCTTCTAGAAATCTGTATGCAGGAATAGGTGAAGGGCAATCAACCACACGGCCACCTATTTTTGATGGAACCAATTATACATATTGTAAAGAACGAATGAGAATCTATATTCGTTCCACAAACTTCCAATTATGGTTGGTTATCAAAAACGGGGAAGAGGTGCCGATGAAGAAAGTCGGAGACAAGTTGATCCCCAAGACCGAAGATGAATTTGATGCCGAGGACATCAAAAAGGTCGAGAATTATGCAAAGGCAATAAACATACTTTATTTTTCCGTAAACCGTGATGACTACCGCAAAATCTCCTGTTGCTCAACTGCCAAGGAGATGTGGGATAAACTTGAGGTGACATACGAAGGAACGGACCAAGTACGTGAAGCCAAGATCGACTTTCTCACCCAAGAGTATGATATGTTTAGGATGAAGGAGCACGAGAAGATTGACGACATGTTCGACCGATTTTCCAAGATAGTCAACGATCTCCATGCATTGAAGAAGACGTACACCGACAGAGATCTTGTATGAAAGATCCTACGGAGCTTGACATCCAAATGGCGATCCAAGGCCGATGCCATCTATGAGTTAATCGGCACGTCGAATGTCACCATCGACGGTTTAAGAGGTAATTTAAAAACTTATGAATCTACTATACTTAACCCGTCTTTGAATGACCAAAAGAAAGGCATAGCATTAAAAGCTGTCAAAGAATCAACGATGAACGATTCAAGTGACGATGATGAAGTCAAGCTGGTCATGAAGAAGTTTTGTAAACTTCTAAGGAAGAAAGAGAAGGTTGAGGATGGTCCGGTGTGCTATGGATGTGGTGAAGCCGGGCACATCAAGAACAAATGCCCGGGAAGCGGAAGGAATGCTCGTCACTTCAAAAAGCAAAAAGCATATATCGCGTGGGGTGGCGACTCCGACGACGAGTCAACCGACCAAGAAGAGGATGAAGCCGCGAACCTTTGTCTCATGGCACACGAAGACCAAACCGACGATGTACAAGAGGTATGTACCATTTCTTCCGACTCTTAAACTTTTGAAGAAATGCAAGAAGCACTTCATGAACTTTATGATGAATTTTTTAGCGCTTCTAAAATCAACAAATCGTTAAAGAAACGCCTATCCACTCTTGAAAATGATTTTGAAAATCTAGAAAAAGATAATGAGAAATTAAAACTAGAAAATAAATTTTATGGCAAAAGAAGCGCCGACAAACCGGAAAGTTCCTAAAACGAATGTGAATCTTGTAAAGCTTTAAAGGAACAAGTCACAAAACTTGAGAGTACGGTTAAGAAATTTAATACTCCGCACAAAGATCTTAATTTACTCCTTGACACCATGCATTTTTCAAAAGAAGGAATAGGTTTTAATGGAGCTAAGAATAAAGAAAGCGTTGAGCAACCACCTAGACAACCACCTAAGGCTCAACGTAAGAAACTTAACCGTGTTCGTTTTATGATAGGTTTTGATAATGCCAAACCGCCGTGACAACAACACGAAATTGAGAAGATCAAAGGCAAAGGAACATGGCATGACGAATTGATAACCAAGAACCAAGAACGAAGACTTAGAATTTATTGAGTCGGTCTTAATGTGATCAAGACTCGCACAAACTTCAAAACTTGGCTCTCTAGGCTACTCCATTAAAATACTCTTTTGCATATTCAAAAATGTTTTTCAAAAGTTTTAAACAAGCCTAAAACACTTGTTGTTCGCCCAAACAAAAAACCAAGCCACCCGGCGTTCGGCTTTCAGAAACCGGCATTCGGCATTCGGTTATCGGTGTTGGTTTTTGGCGTCCGAACCAACCAAGTGGTTTTCAATGTTTTATGATTTGTTTTTACTTCTGGGCATATTTAAACAGTTCTCCAACAAAAACGCTTCAAAAACCACCTTTCGTTTTTGGTCGTTTAGTGAAAACCATGCGAAACGGCGCAAACTTGGCTAGCCGTGGTTTTTATCTAAATGACGTGGTTTTAAAATGTTTTACTTGATTTCTTAGTGAAATGAATTAAACAAATGTTTTCAATACTTGGTTTCTATTTTGGAGAACTTCCGGCATGACTAAAGCAACCATGGGTCTGGCTAAACCAGCCCAACAGCGATGGCGTACCCAACAGCGCTGTCTGGCATGGGTAGCTGAAAACCATGGTTTGGCGTTAAGTCTTCCAACAGCGATGTTGGTGTTTACATACCGCTGTTGAAGCGAAGGTTGGGTTTCCAGAAACATTTGGAACAACGATGTAGACCTCCCTACATCGCTGTCCAACCTAAGCCAAAAATAAATGCGTTGGCAGAAAATTTTTGGACAGCGCTGTTGACCCAACAACAGCGATGTCAGGCCAATTCCTCAACCTTCAAAGTCAGGCCTAAACAACGATGTTCAAGTAATGAATATCGATGTAGGTACCTGACCGTTCGAAGGAATTTATGACTAAAACTTTCCTTGTTTAGAAGTCAACAGCCAAAACAGCGATGTAGGGGTTTTGGACATTGCAGTTGGCTTGACCGTTGCTTCCCATTTTTCAAAAACCAAGCCTAGAACAACGATGTCCAAACCATGGACAGCGCTGTCTAGGGGGTTTTCAGCAGATCTAATTTTAATCAAATCCCACAAATTGTGCCAATCACCCCTTAAATGTTTTGATCCGTTGGAGCCTATTTTTCCACTATAAAATGGGGTTTTTGGGTCTGTTTTACATATCACATTACTTCACAACTCCTATTCTTTCATTGCATATCATTCATACTTTATTCATAGCTTTTCAAGAGCCATTTTTGTGAAGTTCGTGTTGTGATCTTGAGCGTATTACTTTACTCATATTCACTCTTTTGAGAGAGCCTTGTTCTTGAGTGTTCTTAGTGTTTATAGACGTTTAGGAAAGTTTGTTTCCATTGTTTGTAAGAAGGAAACGTGTTTCCCTTGGTTGTACGAAGGAAAGGTGTTTTTCCTTCGGGTTGAAGTCTTGGAGTGTGGTATCTCCGAGCAAGTGTTGTTGAGGCTCGTGGGACTCGAGTTCTCAAGTTGTAACGGTTTGTTAAGCACCCGTAAGCTTAACGGAAGTAGTGTAGCTCGAGAGAGTCTCTCGGGACACTGGATTAGCCACACGTTGTGGTGAACCAGTATAAATCTTGGTGTGCTCCCTTTACTTTTCTATGCTCTTTACTTTTTACGTTCTTAATTTTTTATTCCTGCGATTTCTACGATCAAACGCTATTCACCCCCCCTCTAGCGTTGGTCACTTATTCTAACAATTGGTATCGGAGCCTAACTCGCGTCCAAACATAACCGTTTGAGAGTAAAGCGATCATGGGTTCTCCTTCTAGAAATTTATATGCAGGAATAGGTGAAGGGCAATCAACCACACGGCCACCTCTTTTTGATTGAACCAATTATACATATTGGAAAGAACAAATGGAAATCTATATTCGTTCCACAAACTTCCAATTATGGTTGGTTATCAAAAACGGGGAAGAGGTGCCGATGAAGAAAGTCAGAGACAAGTTGATCCCCAAGACCGAAGATGAATTATGCCAAGGCAATAATCATGCTTTATTGTGCCGTAAATCCTGATGATTACTGCAAAATCTCCTGCTGCTCAACCGCCAAGGAGATGTGGGATAAACTTGAGGTGACGTACGAAGGAACGGACCAAGTACTTGAAGCCAAGATCGACTTCCTCACTCAAGAGTATGAGATGTTCAGAATGAAGGAGCACGAGAAGATCGACGACATGTTCGACTAATTTTCCAAAATTGTTAACGATCTTCATGCGTTTAAAAAGACTTACACCGATAGGGATCTTGTACGAAAGATCTTACGGAGCTTGACATCCGAATGGCGATCTAAGGCCGATACCATCTATGAGTTAATCGGCACATCAAATGTCACCATCGACGGTTTAAGAGGTAACTTAAAAACATATGAATCTACTATACTTAATCCGTCTTTGAATGACCAGAGAAAAGACATAGCATTAAGAGCCTCCAAAGAACCGACAATGAATGACTCAAGCAACGAAGATGAAGTCAAGCTCATCATGAAGAGGGTTTGCAAACTTCTAACGAAAGAGAAGGCTGAGGATGGCCCTGTGTGCTATGGATGTGGTGAAGCCGGGCACATCAAAAGTAAATGCCTGAGAAGCGGAAGGAATGCTCGTCACTTCAAAAGGCAAAAAGCATACATCTCCTGGGGTGGCGACTCCGACGACGAGTCAACTGACCAAAACGAGGATGAAGCTGCCAATCTTTGTCTTATGGCACACGAGGAAGACTCACCAACAACATCCAACAACGAAGATGTATGTACCACTCCCTCTAAACCATATTCTCTTGAGGAAATGCAAGATGCACTACAAGAACTCTATCAAGAGTTTGTCGGAGCTTCAAAATTGAATAAATTCCTGAAGAAACGCTTTTCTATTCTCAAAAACGATTTTGAAAAATTGGAAAAAGAAAATGAAAAATTGAAACAAGAAAATAAATTTTATGGCAAAAGAAGCGCCGATAAACCGGAGAATCTCTCCAACGAATGTGACTCTTGGAAAACCTTAAAAGAACAAGTTACAAAACTTGAAAACACGGTTAAGAGGTTTAATACACCGCATAAAAATCTAAATATTATTCTTGACTCTATGCAATTCACTAAGGAAGGATTAGGCTTTAATGAGATTAAGGTTAAAGAAAACGTTGAGCAACCATCTAGACAATCTCCTAAGGCTCAATGTAAAAACTTAAAAATCAGGATAATAGAAAACCTAGTCAACCTAAGGACACTAGACAACCTAGACAAAAACCTAGGAATGAAAATGTTCATGGTAGACAATCTATGAAAAATTATCAGAATGATTTTGTGCATAAAAATAATTTTTCTCAAAATAGAAGAACACTTAGAAATGATCCTTTTGAAAACATGCATAAATCATCCTTTTCTCAAAATAGGACAAACATGGTTAGGCCCCCTAGCTATTATCAACCTAGGCATATGTTCAACCCAAACGTAGTATGCCATTATTGCAATAGGGTAGGACATATAGCTCTCGTATGCTTTACCAGACATAGGCACTCCACCTATAATGAAACACACAACACTCTTGGTGCTAACAAAAAGAAATCCTTTAGAAAAGGACATTTGTATATTGCACAAAAAAACCCTACAATTTCTTCTACTTTGACGAAAAGAGGAAAGTCCACATTCCGTTACCGGAATCGACACAAATCACACCAAGATATCGGCACTCCGTTCAGGTAGATTGGAACCCGCCAACCACGGGACGACGGGTTGGCCAAGGTAAACCCTAAATATTCATCAAATCGAGTGTGTGTGTGTGTGCATGTGGAAATAAACTTTGGGTGTGTGTGTGGATAATAAAAACCAATTAACCTCCAAGGACCCATAAGAATATTTTGGGTACCAAAGTGTTGCTTCGTAGGTAATCAACAAGCACTAAAATCAGGGGGAACCATGCAAACAGCGCTGTCCAGGAGACAAACAGCGCTGTTGAAGGAAACACCGTCAACCAAATTGAGCCAACAGCGCTGTACAACACCCCAACAGCGCTGTCACAGGGAGTCTTCCTATTCTTTGCTTCCCAAAAACTTTATGAACATCGATGTAACATATCTAAACATTGCTGTCTCCCTAAACACCATGTTTTCAAGCAAAACCAGAAAGTTTTTCAACAGCGATGTCCACCATTGCAACATCGCTGTGCATTTGTACAAATTTTTTTTTCCTATCGTAAAACAGCGATGTAGAGATACCCAACATCGCTGTTTTAATGGGTTCAAACCCTCACAAAATTCCAGAATGATTTGGAACATCGCTGTAGGGAACCCAACATCGATGTCCATTTGACACCTGGTTTTAAAACTTAACGCAGAACAGCGCTGTACAAGGGTACAACAGCGCTGTCCCAATAGCGATGTCGTCTTCAGAACATCGCTGTTCACGTTGTATTTTTCAAAAAAAAACCGTTGGCACTTGCATTAATTGCTCCAATAGCCATATTTTTGAAATTCTGGACGTTGGGAACCTCCTTTTCTATATATTGGGACCCCCTCTCTTCACTTTACACACACAAACACAATTCTCTTCAATATCTTTGCATATTTCATCTTCTCCACAATCTTTTTTTTGAGATCTCTTTATCACCATGGGCAAAGACAAGAGCAGGGCTGCCACCTCTGGGAAATCAAAGTCAAAATCCCGGGCACCGACAACAAACTCCGAGGAGCGCCTCTACTACGGCGACAGGTCGTATCTCTGGTTTGATTCCGAGGAGGAGCGCACCCGTTTCTCACCTTCTTCTCTAAATGGGTTATGGCTCCCCCACGGATCGTCCTGGAGCGCCTACCGGAGTTGCAAGGCTACGACGACCTCGACGCACAGCTTCACCAAACAGGCCTTTGGCCGTTCGTCTCCCAGGCTCGGAAGGAGATCAACCCGGCGCTGATTCGGGTCTTCTACTCCAACCTCCGGCGTGAGGACGACATGCTCTACTCTCTGGTCAAGAGCACGCCGATTGAGCTCACCATTGAGCAATTTGGGCGCATCGCCGGCCTCCCCTACCAAGGCGACGACATCTCCAACTATGGCAGAGAGGATTAGGTTCTCAACAATGAAGGCCTTGTCCTCAACGAGCTTGGCATCACCGAGCTCATCCGCCACGCCACAGGCCGCCACGCCACAGGCCGCCCCACCATCCACTTCGCGACCCCCGAGAGCCGCCTCCTTCTCTACATCGTGTCTCGGATCATCAAGCCCCAGAAGCATGGGCACACGATCATGTCCGGTGACCACCTCAAGCTCCTCCATGCGATCATGCACTCGGCGCCAATCAATTGGGTGAAGTTTGTCATGATCTACATGACGATCGCCGCGTCCACTGACCACGATCACCTTCTCCCGTACCCGTTCTTGGTGATGGACATCCTTGAACAGTTCAAGGTCACCACCACCGTTGGCCCGCTCACGAAGGCCACGAAGATTTGGACAATGAGCACCTAAACCTTCAAGAAGCGGTCGGACAACGCCGGACCTGCCACTGCCGTGCCACACCGCACTACCACATGCCCAGCCGAACCCCAGGCCCGGGCCAACCTAGCCTCCATCGCCGACTCCCTCAACCGGCTACACTTCAAAGTCGACGGGATGGACGGGTACCTTGAGCAGCTCGACGAGGCTGTTCAACGCCAAGGGCACGCCATGAATGCGTACTTCCAACGCGTCAACTACGTCCCCCCACCGTACCAAGGCACATTCCTTGGGCAAGTGTACGGTGACAAGGACAAAGAGGATGGCTCCTACGCCCCGTCAAGCTCCCCGGAGGAGGACGAGTTCGATGACGCCGTTGACGGTGATGAGATGGACGTCGACGACGACGATGAGGAAACCGAAGACGAAGACTAGGCCGCACCTAGAATTTCTATCTATTCTTCTTTCAATAGTCTTGTTTTTTTATTACTTCCGTTGTACTCCGATATTTCCCATTTCAATCAATAAAAGTTATCTTTTATCTTTTTGTTAATGTCAAAAGGGGGAAGAAAACGGCTATGCATATACTAAGGGGGAACATCTCTAAACGGGATCGTTTGATTTTAAAACGAATTTGATTTTAAAACGCCTACTTATTTTAAGCACAAATTAAGGAGGAACTCGTTCAATATTTTTAAAATCAAATATCCCTTAGCATGCATATCCCCGTCTTGTTTGCCATTATCAAAAAGGGGGAAATTGTTGGAACACGGGTTTACGCCTATGTCGTACTAAACCATGTTCGTTTTATGATAGGTTTTGATAATGCCAAACCGCCGTGACAACAACACGAAACTGAGAAGATCAAAGGCGAAGGAACATGGGATGACGAATTGATAACCAAGAACCAAGAACCAAGAACGAAGACTTAGAGTTTATTGAGTCGGTCTTAATGTGATCAAGACCGGCACAAACTTCAAAACTTGCCTCTCTAAGCTACTCCATTAAAATACTCTTTTGCATATTCAAAAATGTTTTTCAAAACTTTTAAACAAGCCTAAAACACTTGTTGTTCGCCCAAACTAAAAACCAAGCCATCCGGCGTTCGGCATTCGGTTATCGGCATTGGTTTTTGGCGTCCGAACCAACCAAGTGGTTTTCAACATTTTATGATTTGTTTTTACTTCTGGGCATATTTAAATAGTTCTTTAACAAAAACGCTTCAAAAACCACCTTTCGTTTTTGGTCATTTAGTGAAAACCATGCGAAACGGCGCAAACTTGGCTAGCTGTGGTTTTTATCTAAATGATGTGGTTTTTAGAATGTTTTACTTGATTTCTTAGCCAAATGCATTAAAAAAATGTTTTCAATACTTGGTTTCTATTTTGGAGAACTTACAATTTTTTTGACATCGACTAACAGCATGACTAAACCAACCATGGGTCTGGCTAAACCAGCCCAACAGCGATGTTGGCGTACCCAACAGCGCTGTCTGGCATGGGTAGCTAAAAACCATGGTTTGGCGTTAAGTCTTCCAACAGCGATGTCAGGCCAATTCCTCAACCTTCAAAGTCAGGCCTGAACAGCGATGTTCAAGTAATGAACATCGATTTAGGCACCTGACCGTTGGAAGGAATTTATGACAAAAACTTTCCTTGTTTGGAAGTCAACAGCCAAAACAGCGATGTAGGGGTTTTGGACATCGCTGTTGGCTTGACCGATGCTTCCCATTTTTCAAAAACCAAGCCTAGAACAGCGATGTCCAAACCATGGACAGCGCTGTCTAGCGGATTTTCAGCAGATCTAATTTTAATCAAATCCCACAAATTGTACCAATCACCCCTTAAATGTTTTGATCCGTTGGAGCCTATTTTTCCACTATAAAATGGGGTTTTTGGGTCTGTTTTACATATCACATTACTTCACAACTCCTATTCTTTCATTGCATATTATTCATACTTTATTCATAGCTTTTCAAGAGCCATTTTTGTGAAGTTCGTGTTGTGATCTTGAGCGTATTACTTTACTCATATTCACTCTTTTGAGAGAGCCTTGTTCTTGAGTGTTCTTAGTGTTTATAGACGTTTAGGGAAGTTTGTTTCCATTGTTTGTACGAAGGAAACATGTTTTTCCTTCAGGTTGAAGTCTTGGAGTGTGGTATCTCCGAGCAAGTATTGTTGAGGCTCGTGGGACTCGAGTTCTCAAGTTGTAACGGTTTGTTAAGCACCCGTAAGCTTAACAGAAGTAGTGTAGTTCGAGAGAGTCTCTCGGGAGACTAGATTAGCCACACGTTGTGCTGAACCAGTATAAATCTTGGTGTGCTCCCTTTACTTTTTCTACGCTCTTTACTTTTCACGTTCTTAATTTTTTATTCCTGCGATTTCTATGATCAAACGCTATTCACCCCCCCTATAGCGTTGGTCACTTATTCTAACAACTTAGTCAACCTAAGGATACTAGACAACCTAGACTAAAACATAGGAATGAAAATGTTCGTGGTAGACAACCTAAGAAAAATGTTTTTGTGCATAAAATCGATATTTCTCAAAATAGAAGAAATAGTGTTAGAGCACCTAAAAAAGGCCAATTTCAAAACTTTCAAAGACCATCCTTTTCACAAAATAGAAACAATATGGTTAGACCCTCTAACTATTATGAACCTAGGCACATGCACAATCCCAACGTAGTTTGCCATTCTTGTTACAAGATAGGCCATATAGCCCCCGTGTGTTTTACCAGACATACGCACTCCACCTATAATGAAACACACAACATCTTTGGTGCTAACAAAAAGAAATCCTTTAGAAAAGGATATTCGTATCATAGGCAATCTCCACAGGAAAACGCACAAAAGAAACCGTACTATTTATTCTACTTTTACGAAAAGAAGAAAGTCCACATTCCTTTACCGGAACCAACACAGACCACACCGAGATATCGGCACTCCGTTCAAGTAGACTGGAACCCGCCAACCACGAGACAACGGGTTGGCCAAGGTAATTCCTAAACGATCATCTAATTGTGTGTGTGTGTGCGCGCACATAAGGAATTAAATTTTGGGTGTGTGTGTGTGTGGGCAATAAAGGTCAACTAACCCCCAAGGACCCATAGACATACTTTGGGTACCAAAGTGTTGTTCTTTTTTGCAGGTACCCCGTTCATAAAATCGGGGGGAACCATACAAGCAGCGCTGTAAGAAGGACAACATCGTTGTTCCTACAGCGCTGTCCAGGAGACCAACAGCGCTGTTGAAGGAAACACCGTCAACCAACTTGGACAACAGCGCTGTACAATACATCACCAGCGATGTCACAGGGAGCCCCCTTACCTTTTGTTTTCCAGAATCTTTTCAAACAGCGATGTAGTGCCTTTCAACACCGCTGTTTCTTTAAAACCCCATGTTTTCATTCAAAACTAGAAAGTTTTACAACAGCGATGTACATGATAGAAACATCGCTGTCCATTTTTACAAATTTTTTCCCTATCGTAAAACAGCGATGTAGGGAGACCCAACAACGCTATTCTATTGGGTTCAAACCCTTACACAATTCCAGAATGATGTGGAACATCGCTGTAGGGAACCCAACATCGCTTTCCTTTTGACACCTGATTTTTTAAACTTAATGCAGAACAACGCTGTATGAGGGTACAACAGCGCTGTTGTTATACACGAGCTCCGGGATTAGGCTTTAGGTTCAGGAACAAACCCTCTTAAGCTGCAGGAGAAAGGAATAATCGATTATCAATTTATGGTAATCGACTAACGAGAGGTTCAGATTCTTGGGAAGGAAGTTTGGGAGTTCAGGAAGGGACAATAGTCGATTGTCAGGATAGCAACAATCGATTATGGGATATGTAGCTCAGACCAAGAAGATTCGGAATGGCATGATAGTCGATTATAAGTAGTTGATAATCGATTATTTGGGGTTTCAGATTCTTCCAGTGTTGACTAGTCGATTATCAGTGAAGAATAATCGATTATGAAGGTTACCCAAGGTTCAGTATGGAAAGAAAATGGCTAGGTTATGTGGGGAAGTTATGAGAAAGGATGATAGGGTGCTTGTAGGCTTAGATGAAAGAAAAGGAGGGATATTTTAGTGTGGGAAATGGAGGGATAAGGGATGGAGAAAATCAAGGATAGATATTACCAAGTTGGGGTTAATAGATATTACACACTCTTATCTTAACTTGGGGTTGAGTCTAGTTTTTAAATAAGATATGACACACTTATCTAAATAACTAGAACCTAAAACTCACACTCAAGAGAACCACTCTTAAGATATAGATTTAGGAATTTAAAGTAGCACACACAAACAAGTGTATTACTAAGTTGAAAATGAGAATGCAATCTGCTGAAAATGCAAGGCCTATGGCCGAATTTATACACATACAAGGGAGACTACCAAGTCTTTTATTCACACAAATCAAAGATGGAATAATAACCACTTGTTGATATACTTTTATTGGGAAGCAAAAATCAGGACAGGGTGTACTTGTGGGGCTGGGTTTTTCGGCCATAAGTGGAGAGGAGTATATGTGAAAGTAATTCACTTATTTGGCTGTTTTGGATGGGGATTATTCGGCCAGAGGAGGGGGTTTGAATGATGGAAAATGGCTGGCTACTTTGGAGGTTTTATGAGAGGAATATGGAGAGTACACTGGCCTGGTTGATTGGTGGGAATTGTGGGTCCTTATTTTGGATTGTAGTTATTGTTTGGCCTGACTATTTGGGGAGTACAATGGGGAACCAGAATGGGTTATGACATGGGGTTTTTTTGGGTGTTTATTTTCGGCCAGGGGGTGGAAGGAAGAAAAGGAAAGGACAATGGGGTTTAAGTGTTTATTTGGATATTTTGGGGTTTGGGTTTTACCAGGCTGGTTCGGCCCTAGGGAGGGGCTGGGTTCAAGGATATTATGGCTATGTTGTGGGGCTTGTTGGTGACAAATTCGGTCCAAAAGGGATCATAACACTTAGCCATTATTCCATTGATTTGTTTAACGTCTTTAGAATCCTTGGTAGTAACCCGGGGTATATCATCCTCCCGGCCTTCAAAAGAGTTTGTCCTCAAACTCGGCATTTCTTCAGGCTCGAAGTACGGGCTAATGTCCTTGATATTGAAAGTAGCTGATACTCCATAATCTCCCGGAAGGTTAATCTTGTAGGCATTGTCGTTGATTTTCTCTATGATTTCAAATGGGCCATCGGCTCTTGGCAGCAACTTTGACTTGCGTTTTGTGGGGAAACGCTCTTTCCGTAGGTGAATCCAAACAAGGTCTCCTGGTTGGAAGTGGAC